ATGACTCTGCGTCCCTCCACTGCTCCTCAGCGTGTCCCTCTGCCGTCTCCTCCTGCGTCCTCTCTACCTACTCTTCCTGACCCGGAGTCTGACTCCCGTCGTGCTGCCAGTCCCACTGTCACGTGTCTCCTCGCCACCGTTGTCACTGACCCTACCTTTGAGTCCGCCGCTGCGTCTGCTCTGGTCGTTGAGTTGGTTGACTTTGCTGCTCGGTGTCGCCTAGACTACGCTGCTAGCCTTGTTGCTGAGTCTGAGTCTGCGTCTGTCTGTCCTCCGTCCGTCGGGGGTGAGTGTGCTCTTGGCACGGACGTCCTTGAGGACAGACAGGAGGAGTTCCAGTGCTTTGCTGCTTCTTTGCCCCATCTCGTGTCCATGCTAGTTGCCCCTGAGGGAGACCCGGATGCACCAGACATCCCGACCCCGCGCTCTTACGCTGAGGCGATGGCGGGTCCCTACTCCTCTCAGTGGCAGACAGCCATGGACGCAAAGATGGCTTCCTGGAAGTCCACACGCACCTACGTCGACGAGGTTCCCCCACCTGGGGCGAACATCGTCAGTGGCATGTGGATTTTCAGGGTGAAGCGGCCACCGGGTTCTCCTCCTGTCTTCAAGGCGCGCTACGTTGCTCGAGGCTTCAGTCAGCGAGAGGGAGTAGACTTCTTTCAGACCTTCTCCCCCACCCCGAAGATGACGACTCTTCGGGTGCTGCTGCACATAGCCGCTCAGCGCGACTACGAGCTTCACTCACTTGACTTCAGCACTGCTTTCTTGCAGGGCAGCCTACACGAGGAGATCTGGCTGCGCCGCCCTCCTGGCTTCACTGGGTCGTTTCCTCCTGGTACCCAGTGGAGGCTTCAGCGGCCAGTCTACGGTCTCCGGCAGGCTCCACGTGAGTGGCACGACACACTGAGGACTACACTTGCGGCTCTTGGGTTCGCGCCTTCTACTGCTGACCCGTCGCTGTTTCTGCGCACCGACACTTCGCTGCCGCCGTTCTACATCCTAGTGTACGTCGACGACCTGGTCTTTGCCACTGCTGACACTGCGGGACTCGCCTACGTGAAGTCGGAGCTGCAGAGGAGACACACGTGCACAGACCTGGGTGAGCTGACAAGCTATCTTGGCTTGCGGATCACCCGGGACAGAGCACGGCGCACCATCACCCTGACTCAGTCACACATGGTGCAGCAGATTCTTCAGCGCTTCCGCTTCACGTACTCCTCGCCTCAGTCCACTCCTCTGCCTACCGGTCACTCGCTCTCAGCTCTGCCTTCGGATGAGTCCGTAGAGCCGAGTGGCCCGTATCCAGAGCTTGTGGGCTGCCTCATGTACTTGATGACCTGCACTCGACCTGACCTGGCATACCCTCTTAGCATCCTTGCACGCTATGTCGCTCCTGGCCGTCACAGGAAGGAGCACATGGATGCTGCTAAGAGGGTGTTGCGCTATTTGTGCAGTACGTCGGGCATGGGGCTAGTGCTTGGAGGGCGAGACCGAGTTGTGCTCACTGGACACTCAGACGCTTCTTGGGCGGACGACCAGGCTACTCAGCGGTCGTCTCAGGGTTACACTTTCAGCCTTGGCTCTGGCTCTGTCTCGTGGCGTTCTACGCGTTCTTCTTCTGTTCTCAGCTCCAGTTGTGAGGCTGAGATCTACGCCACAGCCATGGCGGCCCAGGAGCTACGCTGGCTGACCTACCTGCTGACCGACCTGGGAGAGCGACCTCGTTCTCCTCCAGTGCTGTACGTCGACAACAAGGCTGCCATTGCCTTGTGTGAGGAGCACAGATTGGAGCACAGAACGAAGCACATCGCCCTGCGGTACTTCCTTGCTCGAGAGCTGCAGCAGCGCGGCCAGCTTCGTCTTCGTCACGTGGCCACTGAGGCCAACACTGCTGATGTGTTCACCAAGGCGCTTCAGCCTTGTGACCATCAGCGTTTTTGCACTCTTCTAGGCCTTGTGCCTACTGGACCTCACTTACTTACTTCTTGACTCTGTGTGTACTGTGATCTCTATATATATACCTGCATGTTTACTCTTGCTAGGTTGTGATCATTGTACCTCTTGCTCTATTATAAACCTGTATGTGAACTGGTCTTGTGACCACTTGCTTGTGCTCGAAATTTGTGTGGAATCCTCGAGATCCACCCTGAGCTTGTTTTGTCTTGCTTTGCCCTGACTGGTCTTGTGACCCCTAGTTCTCCCCCACTTTGCCTATGGGGGTGTGTCGAACATTGTATATGTTGTGTTTGGTTAGGCTACAGTGGGTTAGCCTGTATGGGGTACACAATTCTAGGGTTTGCTATTTGTACTGATTTCTCTGTTAGTTCAACCATTCCTGACCGTTCATCTTGACACGATTAATAAGCAGCCAGGATTTGCAGTTTTGCATATTTGACAAATTGTAGGCCGATTTGCAAGCCGTAGTCTCAAAGTTGTCAAATTTTGCGGTTGCTACAATAGCCGGGTGTGTGTGACGGTGTTGCAAATTTGACGACGACAATTTTCATAGGTCGTGTGATTATGTGTGACGTCGCATGTGTATGTCGCTCACCGTGTCGACTAGTGGGCCGAATTGGAATCGACACGGTGTACGGTTTGGTTTCGGGCCGTTCAACGGCCCTCAAATTCGCAAATTTGTTATATAAATAACAACGCTTGCCAGGATTTTGGCAAATGTCCTTATGTGGTTACATTCGCAAACAGCGACCCTACGGATTTTCTGTTCCACGTTTGGTGATGTGACACACCCTAAACTTCCTCAAAGCGTCCTGAATTTCCTAATGCTGCCCCGCCATTTAAGAGTGTTGCGAGAGTGCTTCATCATTCCTTCCTTGTGGTGCAGTCTTTCTGTTACTCCAGGGGTAACATTGCTCGATCGCTCCTCCTCCTCCTCCTCCTCCTCCTCCTCCTCCTCCTCCTCCTCCTCCTCCTCCTCCTCCTCCTCCTCCTCCTCCTCCTCCTCCTCCTCCCCCTCCCCCCCATAAAACAAGCACAATACAAATTATTATCCCATAGCCAAGCTAGATTATAAGGAGCACCATGCCAAATGGCCTGCCAATGCATTCTAGACGCTTGGATGGGATGCGAAGCAGCGCCAATGGACCAAAGGAGGATAAGATGCAGCAGTGGGTGCTGGAAACTTATAGGAGAGGCCCGCTGTTGCTGCTGACGCAGCAAAAACAGGACTGCAAGGGCGGAAAGAAGCAGAGCACGTGGAGAAATCAAAGCAGGAGTGCACGAGCTGAAAGCAGGAGTGCATTGGCAGAAAGCCGGAACCGGAGGAAATAGCGACTCGTTGAGATGAGGGGTATGTGAGGAGTGAGAGGTGCGAGAGGGGTGGGGCTATGAGAGAAATTAGGGTATTGGTATGAACAAAGTGGGGCCTCTGAGAGCAGTAGGGGCATGAGAGGGAATGGGGGTACATGAGAAGTGGGGGTTGTGAGAGGAGGGGGTGGTGTGAGGATTTGGAGGAATGAGAGAGTGGAATGGGGGTATGAGAGGAGTGGGGGGTGTGAGGGGAATGGGGGGAGAAGTGGGGGATAGGAGAGGAGTTGCGGGTATGAGAGGACTGGGGGTTGTGTGAAAAGTGGGGGGTGTGAAAGGACTAATGTGTGTGAGATGAGTGGGGGGTGTAAGAGGAATAATGGGTGTGAGCAGTCGGGGTTGTGAGAGGAATAATGGGTGTGATAGGAGTGGGGGTTGTGAGAGGAATAATGGGTGCGAGGAATGATGGGTGGGAGAGGGGTGGGGGGAGTGAGAGGAATAATGTGTGTGAGAGGAGTGGGGGGTGTGAGAGGAGGACATGATGTTGAACGGTTCTGGGGTACGAGAGGAGTGAGGAGTACAAGAAGGATGGAAGTATGAGAAAAAATGGGGATAGTCGAAGGAGCGAGGTGTGTGAGAGCAGTTGAGGTGTGAGAGGAGTGGGGGATGTGAGAGGAGTGGGGGGTGTGAGAGGAGGACAGGATGTAAAAAGATTTTGGGGTACGAGAGGTTAGGGGTGCAAGAAGGGCGGGAGTATGAGAAAAGTTGGGGGTAGAACGGGAGGAGTGAGGGGTTTGAGAGCAATTGAGGTGTGAGAGGAGTGGGGTTGGGGGTATGAGAGGAGTTGGGGTAATGAGAAGATTGTAGATTACGAGTGCTTGGGGGTATGAGAGAAATGAAGGGTATCGGTATGAAAGCAGTGGGAGTACAAAGATGAGTGGGGAAGGGGGGTATGAGAGGAGTGGGGGTACGGTAGGAGAGGTAAGATTGAGAGGCTGTGGGCTGTGGTGTTGAAGTGCTGGCCGGATAACACCTCATTCCTTCAATTACCTACCACTGCCATGCATTGTGCACCATGCACACGCATGGTTGCAAATACAGTGTACGCTTACCGCCATGTGCCATGCTCCATACAGCAAACTCTGCTCGTTCTTCTCCCCCCTTTCTGACTTGTTAACATCCAGCTGTTAACATCAAAGCCATTTGTGAACTCAGCAGCAGCAGAGCTAGGCAACCATCAGTGCTCACTCAGCACCCCAATCACTTTGATATGGTGACAATTGATAGCAGTGCAACCCCTCCAAGCATGAGTGACGACAACCAATGGCACTTGACACGTGTTAGATATTTCGTTCACCCCAATCTGCCAACTTACTGTTCCATTTATAAACCCAATCACAACGCACAACACATAGTACATAATACACACAAAGAAACATTACCACCCTAAAACCTGCTGCTGCTGCTTCTGCAGCCCTTGCTTCCTCTATACGAGCACCTCACGAGCAGACAATAATCTCACATCTGACACACAAAAGAAACCGGCATCTGAGCATCTACTTTCCTGCCCCGGCTTCCTCTGCTTCATCCTTTCCTGCTCCATCTTCTTCTTGCAAAGTTTTTCATTCAAGGCCAGTAACAACCTGCTGCTCCTGCCCGTTTTGCTGCTCCTTTTTCTCCCGTGCCGCCTTCTGCCATTCCGCTTTTGCCCGTGCCGCCTCCTCACGGGCGGTTTACTGCCGTGCTGCATTTGCCATTTCCGCTCTCTCCCGTAACGCCTTCTCCATTGCCGCGCTCACCTGTGCCCCTTTCGCCTGTGCCGCCGCCGCCGCCTGTGCCGCCGCCGCTGCCTGTGCTGCCGTTGCCGCCTGTGCTGCCGTTGCCTCCTGTGCTGCCGTCGCCGCCTGTGCCGCTGTCACCTCTGCCGGCGTCGCCTCTGCCGGCGTCGCCTCTGCCGGCGTCGCCTCTGCCGGCGTCGCCTCTGCCGGCGTCGCCTCTGCCGGCGTCGCCTCTGCCGGCGCCGCCTCTGCCGGCGCCGCCTCTGCCGGCGCCGCCTCTGCCGGCGTCGCCTCTGCCGGCGTCGCCTCTGCCTGCGTCGCCTCTGCCGGCGTCGCCTCTGCCGGCGTCGCCTCTGCCGGCGTCGCCTCTGCCGGCGTCGCCTCTGCCACCTTCTCCTGTGCCCCCTTCTCCTGTGCCGGCTTCGCCATCTCTGCTCCCGCCGCCTGTGCCGCCGCCCCCGCCGCATCTGCCGGCGTTGCCTGTGCCGGCGTCGTCGTTGCCGGCATCGCCTCCGCATTCTCCCGTGCCGCGTTCTCGCGTGCCGCCGTCTCCTGTGCCGCCTTCTCCTGTGCCGCCTTCTCCTGTGCCGCCTTCTCCTGTGCCGCCTTCTCCTGTGCCGCCGCCTTCTCCTGTCCCGCCGCCTTCTCCTGAGCCGCCGCCTCCTGAGCCGCCGCCTTCTCATGTGCCGCCTTCTCCTGAGCAGCCTTCTCCTGAGCCGCCTTCTCCTGAGCCGCCTTCTCCTGAGCCGCCTTCTCCTGAGCCGCCTTCTCCTGAGCCGCCTTCTCCTGAGCCGCCTTCTCCTGAGCCGCCTTCTCCTGAGCCGCCTTCTCCTGAGCCGCCTTCTCCTGAGCCGCCTTCTCCTCTGCCGCCTTCTCCTCTGCCGCCTTCGCCAGCTGCTGCTGCTTCTTGCTCTTCTTCGGCCTGCTCCGTTTATGCAATATCCGCCGCCACTCCTTCCCCACCTTCTCCTGGGGCTTCCACTCTCCAACTGCAGCCAGCATTCTCTGCTTCTCGACTTGCACCCCCACCTGCTCAGCGGCCCGAAGCTGCTCGTCGTTGATCAACTTCTCATCCCGCTGCTCTTCCAGCTGCTGCAGTTGTCGCTGCACTGGAGCACCATCTCGGACACGCCGCGAATCGGCTGAGTAAACGTTTCCAGAAACCGAGGGCCCGACGGAGACGGAGAGACCGCCTGTGTGGGGGGAGAAAGTCGGGAGAAGGCTGTGAGCATCGACGGATTGCTTTGCGAAGAAACGGCGCTCTTCAGACCACTGCCGTGGTGGTTGCGTCGACACACACAAAAAGAAAGGTATAAAAGGAAACGTCGGGTTGAGAGAAGCTTACGTCGATCGTTCTCATTGGCGGGAAGCAGCCGGCCACGAGCTCCTTCACTGCCTCGCGGCCCGCAAGACAAGGCCAGCACGAGAAGGAATGCCAGTAGCATCATAGCGACTGTCTCGTCACAGATTTGACTCTGGAAGTTGGTGCTGTCGAATTGTTGAAAGGACTGCTGAGTCTGTTCAGTTTGCACTGCCAGTGTGGAGTTAAGATACGGAAAATATAGGCGTATGACTTCACTACGCTGCTGGGAGTTGTCAAGCGGACACTGGCTGGTTCACAATAAGCTCGAGTCGCCAACCAGTCACAAAATAATTCAGAGGCGATAATTCAGAGGCGATAATGCAGGGGCGATATGCAAATTTGGAAACGAGGGTGTGATTCGTGCAAACGAATTCATGTGTCCAGGGGTCGATTTATAGCTCGCGAAATTGGCTGCGAAAGGGGGCTCTGGTAGAGGAAGTGTTTTGCGAAGTTCTATCAAATAGTAACGTGGTACCTTACTGATACAGAAGTTTTCGATCGAGGGTGGAAGAAAGGGTAACTCACTCCCATGTCCAGCAGATGACCCCGCTTCCAGAACATCGACCACGTCCTGAAGTGCAATAAATTGTTCGCAATAATGCAATGCGACCGCGAGGCGCAAGACTCGCGACGCTAGCGATAGTGACGAAACGTGGGGGAATGTAACAAGCAGTCCATTTCATGCAAGCTGTAGCAAGATGTTCCTTCAAGCTGCTAATTTAGAATATAAAAACTAGTCAAATATCATGCAAATACGTTATTAGATTATGGTCCTATTGACAAATCTGATTGTGGTAGACTGCGGAAGGGATGTAGACGAATCCACATTGCTGCACCATATTGCTTCTATCTTTCGTTTTCATTTTCGTTGACTTAATACGGCTCTATAGGATGCCGTAGGCGACAAAAGGCGAAACAAAAGCGTAATATAGTGCTCCGATTTTTATGCAATTATGATTGTAGGCATCACTGCTGTAAGTCAGAACAGAAATGCTGCAGAGACTTCAACTTGGCACTATTCTCAAGTCGTTTAGGAATTCTGACCACAATCGGCAACCTCACATTAGTAGCGGCAATGCACGATACCACTCAAGGCGAAACAGGGAGTATAGAACTCCCAGATTGCAGCTACCTTGTAACCGCCACAAGAAAGATAGTAATGGTAAAACATATGGAGTAAAAGCAGCAGGTCGTCAGTGATGGTGTTGAATGGTGGTAACCTTGTATGGTGATAGTGTTGAATGGTGGTATGGTAACCTTGTATGGTGATGGCGTTGAATGGTGGTATGGTAACCCTGTATGGTGATGGCGTTGAATGGTGGTATGGTAACCTTGTATGGTGATGGCGTTGAATGGTGGTATGGTAACCTTGTATGGTGATGGCGTTGAATGGTCGTATGGTAACCTTTTATGGTGATGGTGTTGAATGGTCGTATGGTAACCTTGTATGGTGCTGCCGCGAATGGTCGTATGGTAACCTTGTATGGTGCTGCCGTGAATGGTGGTATGGCAAACTGGTATGGTGCTGCTGGAAGTCAATGATTGTTAGTGATAATGAGAGATCATGGTGGCAGCAGCGGCGCTGGTGTTGGTGGTGGTATGGCAAACTGGTATGGTGCTGCTGGAAGTCAATGATTGTTAGTGATAATGAGAGATCATGGTGGCAGCAGCGGCGCTGGTGTTGGTGGTGGTATCGCTGCATTTGGTGGCGGTGCTGGCGGTGGTAGTGTGGTGGTGGTGGTAGCGTGGTGACGGTGGTAGGGTGGTGGTGGTGGTAGGGTGGTGGAGATGGTAGCGTAATGGCGGTGGTAGCGTGGTGGTGGTGGTAGCGTGGTGGTGGTGGTAGCGTGGTGGTGCTAGCGGTGCTGGCAGTGCTGGCGTTGCTGGCGGTGGTAGCGTAATGACGGTGGTAGCGTGGTGGCGGTGGTAGCGTGGTGGTGGTAGCGTGGTGGTGGTGGTTGGGCAGAGTTGATGGGGTGGAGGTGGCAAGCAAGTGGCAACAAGGGGGCAAAGCCACAACCAGCTCATTGCTGATGCTTCTCTGCAATCATTGAACATGCAGGGCTGAACGTGAATATTCAGCAAGCTGCCTGCAACCTTCCGCACAAAAGACTAAACGCGTTGCTCAAACAAGCCAGGTTCATTGAAGCCATGCCTGCATCGCTGATGCTGCTCTGAAATTCTTCAAGCAGCTCCCCAAATTTGGTCTTTGCTGCCCTGAATTTTCCCATGCTGCCCTGAACTTCCTCATACAACTCCGACTTTCTTCATGCTGCCCAGACTTGTACTGCCCGCCAACAACAAGGGGTCGAAATCGCTTCGCTCAAGTGAAGTCGAATCTCCTGAAGGCTTTCCCTTCATCCCATGATGTGGGCGGGGTGGTTGATCAGAGTGAATCAGGTAAGTGCAGTGCAGTGGCGAGTGTAGTACAGACCACATGGAAACGATTTCTCACCATTCATGATCCACAGATGATGCCATGTCAGGACCGTCCATTTAAAGACTGTGGGATGGCCATGCGGAAAGACACAGTCATTGCGACATGGCATGGCACATGCGGTATGGCTCATGATGATGGTCTACCCATGACAAACCATGCATGAAGGCACACAGCAAACCATTACTTATGACCATGAATTGCGGAAATCTGTTCACATCTGGCTTATACCACATTCACACAGCAAGACATGGAATGGCCATGCGGAAGGACACGGCCATTGCAACATGACACATGCGGTATCTACCCACAACAAACCATGCATGGAGGCACACAGCGGACCATGATTCAAAGTTCATGACTTCTGATTCATGAGTTGCAAAAATCTGTTCACATTCGATGAACAACCTCCCCTCCCCTCCCCTCTACGTTCAGACCGCTCCAGCTACATTCTCCGCGCACATTGACTTATGCGATTCTAATAACTGCAACTCCACCCACTCACTGTGCCACTCCACCCACTCACTGTGCGACTTACCTATTGCATTGCTACGAGTGATCAGGTTCGGAGGCTGCACCTCTCTCGTCCTGATAAGGTCCTGTGCTTGCTGCAGGGAAGTGGATACGGCTCACCTGTGCTTGCTGCAGCCTGGCAACTGCGCATGGAGGGGACGGGGACGGGGGGACGCGCGTGGGGAAGGGCAGGAAAGTGGGGAAGGGCGGGGAAGTGGGGAAGGGCAGGAGAGTGGGGAAGGGCAGGAGAGTGGGGAAGGGCAGGAAAGTGGGGAAGGGCGGGGAAGTGGGGAAGGGCAGGAAAGTGGGGAAGGGCGGGGAAGTGGGGAAGGGCGGGGAAGTGGGGAAGGGCGGGGAAGTGGGGAAGGGCGGGGAAGTGGGGAAGGGCGGGGAAGGCTGGGCGATTCACCTGTGCTTGCTGCAGCCAGACAGCTGCGCATGGAGGGGAAGAGGATGGGGGGATGCGCGGAGAAGCGAGGGGAAGGGCGAAGAAGGGCGGGGAAGGGAAGGTTGGGCCGACTGACCTGTGCTTGCTGCAGCCGGGCAGCTGCGTATGGAGAGGAAGAGGATGGGGGGATGCGCGGAGAAGCGAGGGGAAGGGCGAAGAAGGGCGGGGAAGGGAAGGTTGGGCCGACTGACCTGTGCTTGCTGCAGCCGGGCCTCTGCACATAGAGGGGACGGGGACGGGGAACGCGCGTGGGAAAGGGCAGGGAAGTGGGGAAGGGCAGGGAAGTGTTGAAGGGCGGGGCGATTCACCTGTGCTTGCTGCAGCCAGGCAGCTGCGTATGGAGAGGAAGAGGATGTGGGGAAGGACGGGGAAGGGCGGGGAACGGCAGGAAATTATGGCAAGGATGGGAGTTGAGGCGCCTCAGAAGGCGGAGAAAAACCCGTGACTCACCTATGCTTGCTGCAGCCAGACAGTAGAGGAAGGGGGAGGGGGGGGGGCGCGCGGGGAAGAGCAGAGAACGGAGGGGAAGAGCAGGGAAGGGTGGGAAGGTCGTGGAAGGGCAGGAAAGTCGGGGCGTCTCACCTGAGCTTGCTGCAGCCAGACAGCTGTGCGCGGAGAGGAAGGGGAGGAGGGACGGGCGAAGAAGGGTGGAGAAAAGTGGGGAAGCGCAGGGAAGGGCAGGAAGGTCGGGGTGACTCGCCTGAGCTTGCTGCAGCCAGACAGCTGCGCGGTGAGGGGGGAGGAGGGGAGGATGAGGGGGAGGGGAGGGGGGGACGCACAGGAAAGGGCAGAGAAAAGCAGGGAGGCGCGGCGAAGGGCGGAAAGGTCGGGGCGACTCACCTGAGCTTGCTGCAACCAGACAGCTGTGCGCGGAGAGGAAGGGGAGGGAGGGACGCGCGAAGCAGGGTGGAGAACGGTGAACAAGGGCGGGGAAGGGTGGGGAAAGGCGACCAGACTTGGCGACTCACCAGTGCTTGCTGCAGCCAGACAGCTGCGCATGGAGAGGAAGGGGAGGGGGGTACGCGCGAAGCAGGGTGGAGAAGGGCGAAGAAGGTGGGGAAGGGCGGGAAGACTCGCGGGAAAGGATGGGAACGATGGGAGTTATGGCAGATAAAAAAGATGGTAGTGGGAACGCGAAACGAGGGACGAGTGTAAGGGGAGAAAGGGGGAGGAAGTGGAGGGGGGGACGCCCCGGGGAGGATGGGAAGGATGGGAGTTATGACAGATCAGAAAAATGGTAGTGGGGACGCGAAACGAGGGACGAGTGTAAGGACGGAGCACGGGTGCAAGGGTCGAAAGCATGGGTGCAAGGATGGGAAGGACGGGAGTTATGGTGGATCAGGAAGATGGTAGTGGGAACGCGAAACGAGGGACGAAACGACGAGGCGAAGAAAGGAAAGGACGTGAGTTGGGGAGGGGACGGGAGATGGGGAGGAGTGGAGGCGAGGAGGCAGGAATAAGTGACACAGAAGATATTCGCGCCAGCAATTAATCAGCGGTCTGGAAAGAAACAAAATTCCGCGTCCAGATTTTTGGGGTTTCGGGTACACTGGAATAGTAGGAGCACTTGGAACAATCATCCGAGCACATTAGCACCCGTGAAACGGAAATTAGGGTTTCGGGTAACAGAAATAGCTGAAGCGGTCAGAGCAAAAAATGAGTCCATTAGGAGCAGGGAACAGGAAATCAAAGCGTGCCAGCAGTGCTGACATCGCTCTTGAGCTTCAAGCTATAACCGCCGCTGATCAAATGATTTCAGATCGGTAATTAGGAGAAATTGAACGATTGGAATCGGTCACAGCACTGGGATCGCCAATCCCCTGCTTGCACACGCAGGTCGCCGCCCGATAGGCTGACGCGAAAAAATAACGCCTCGCTACCCACTGGGTCGAAACGAGGGTTACGCGCAGCGAAGGAACTCAGCCCTTACGTATAAGCCGCACAGGCGTTACGAAGAACCTTCCGGCTGCTTGCGCACTCAGATCGCCGCGCGCTCAGATCGCCGCGCGCTCAGATCGCCGCGCGCTCAGATCGCCGCGCACTCGGATCGCCGCGCACTCAAATCGCCGCGTACTCAGATTGCCGCGCGCTCAGATCGCCGACCGACAGGCTGCGCGCCGAACCATTCTCGCCGCCGCTGGTTGTGGCAACCTCGGAGCAATGACAGCGCCGTTACAGGAAACGTTAGCAGCATCAAGGTGAAGTTGCGTGAAAGGCAGGTTACAGGGTTACCAGGTCCAGCGAGACTCCTCCACGGCCAGCCGAAGCAAGGCCGCATCACCCTACGCACCTACGGGGATTCGCCAGTGAGGTAAGGTGAGGTAGGGTGAGGTAAGGTACGGTAAGCTAAGGTATTGAGGGGACTGTCACTGGAATTCTCTTTTGAAAGGACTGTCAGTGCAGTGAGGCCGAAGCAACATCACATCACCCCACGCGGAATGCGGTTAAAGAAAGTTTGGACTTAATATAGAGCGGTAACGAGCGGTAGGGTTTTCTGCCGCAAAAAAGGAACATTATTGGACCCACCCTTACAGATTCTCCTGAAACAGACTGTCAGTGGATTTCTCACCTGAACCTGAGCATAGTTTCGTGCGACGAGACTGCAAGGATCTAGCGGATCTTGGCGGTTAGGTCAGGACGGCGCGACGACGATCTCTAACGGAGACCGCCTTTCGCCGTCCGAACGGGGGGGAAGGCGGAAAGTCAGCCAAAACCTTTCGTTGCCGTGCATCGCTGCAGTTGCGGACGGACGGCGAGGCGGCAGCCCTTCATACGACCGTCCGTGAAGGACGTCGCCTCGCCACGCTACCGTTCAGCTGACGGATACCGTCTGATAGATCCATCGCTTCGAGGCGAGGCGAAATCGATCGCTGGGCTTGTCCCTGTTGCTTGCACAGTCCTTGCCGGTAGCGCTGTCCTGCGACGAAGCGGCGCAAAGAGATGCGCACGCGCGAGGAAGCTGGTGGTAACATTCTGCTGCCAGACCGGAGTTATCTGCCACGTGCCATGTCCCTGACTCTCTGGCTGCCGCTCCAACCATTTGGCTCGAAAGGCATTTTCAGGCGAGCAAATTTTGTGGGGAATTGATCAGACTGGGGCCCCGGGTTAGCAGAAACAGTGCCAACTTGGGGCCTCGTGAGTCGCGACCCTACGAAATAGGCCCGAAGCAAATCACAAGACTGGGCAGCAGGTCCGAACCTGGCAAACTCGCCAGGTCACCACCTACTGCCTTGGGTTTGACGGAAATCGCTAGCACCCCACACCGCTGGAAGCACAACAATCCGTCAAACCAACACAGTCTGATCGAGATACAGCACAAGCAGCATGTAACAAACAACTCGGAATTATTACGGAAACATAAGACTGCCAGAACACAAAGAGCTGAAACATGAAAATTAATAAAATGAGTGGGCACAAAATGGGGAGGTTCATGACCTTTTTCTGTTAGAGAAATTTCAACCAACCTACCCACATTCTTTCAGAATATGTATACATACATATATGATTTACATGCAAGTGCTTCCCTTGTAAAATCTTCGATGAAAAATCTTCTACCGTATTCCCCCGGATATACCACCCTAGGGTGCTATGATAACTACACAAAAAAAAGGGGGGGTCTTGTCATCGGAAAAAGCTTCATTGCACCCGGGTCTTTACATAATGTGTATTTTTTTTATAGCGTAAAACGATTAGTACTAAATGTACATCTGTATTTTTGTTTTACATCTGTACTAAATCGTTTTACGCTATAAAAAAAATACACATTATGTAAAGACCCGGGTGCAATGAAGCTTTTTCCGATGACAAGACCCCCCCTTTTTTTTGTGTAGTTATCATAGCACCCTAGGGTGGTATATCCGGGGGAATACGGTAGAAGATTTTTCATCGAAGATTTTACAAGGGAAGCACTTGCATGTAAATCATATATGTATGTATACATATTCTGAAAGAATGTGGGTAGGTTGGTTGAAATTTCTCTAACAGAAAAAGGTCATGAACCTCCCCATTTTGTGCCCACTCATTTTATTAATTTTCATGTTTCAGCTCTTTGTGTTCTGGCAGTCTTATGTTTCCGTAATAATTCCGAGTTGTTTGTTACATGCTGCTTGTGCTGTATCTCGATCAGACTGTGTTGGTTTGACGGATTGTTGTGCTTCCAGCGGTGTGGGGTGCTAGCGATTTCCGTCAAACCCAAGGCAGTAGGTGGTGACCTGGCGAGTTTGCCAGGTTCGGACCTGCTGCCCAGTCTTGTGATTTGCTTCGGGCCTATTTCGTAGGGTCGCGACTCACGAGGCCCCAAGTTGGCACTGTTTCTGCTAACCCGGGGCCCCAGTCTGATCAATTCCCAATTTTGTGGAGGTGCACGATCGCCGTAAATTTGGGTGTGGCGGTTTCCTGATGAAGACGTCTTCTTCAGGAAACCATCGTGAATGGTTTCCTGACTGTGGTGTGGATGGTTCGTTGCACTACACTACCTTGACTCGTGGACTCTCGCCCACACATGTCCAACTTCATGCTTGTTGATCCCTACTGTATCTACAAAAGGCCTTATTCGGCTGGCGCAAGTACAGTTTCTGCTTTGAATTTCGAAGGCTCGCCTCCACAACCAATTCACACCAACTTTGAGAGACTCCCTAGCTTTGCTCCCACCAAGCCAAGCAGCAGAGACGGATAGTAGAGGGAGATAATGTCGTCCTTCCGCGCTTTCATGCGACTTGGGCGACTCAAGTTCATCCCGTACTCGTCAATGCTCGCGCTCATGGGCGCACTCTCACGCGACATCAGCCACCACCACCCTCGCCACCACCACGACTCATGGTTCAGTTTCCCGGCGAGCTTCGTTCCCGTGGCGCTCTTCGTGGCGTGCACGCACGTCATGACGCATTACTACAACGAATACTTCGACTACGAGGCCGATCTCGCCAACAAGCAACGCGGAAAGTGGAACGGCGGCTCGGGCGTGCTTCCCGAGGGCCTTCTGCCGCGCTGGCTGGCGCTCGCCGCGGCGAACGTGCTGCTCGTGGGGAGCGTCGTCACGCAGCTCGCATTCTTCCGAACCCCCGCGCAATGCGTCGCGTGCGCGACGCTGTTCCTGTCGTGGGCGTACACCGCGCCGCCGTTTAAACTCCACTATCGCGGTTTGGGCGAAGCGACCGTTGCAGCCGTGCTGACGTGCAGCGTCCCGGTGATGGGCGCGCTGCAGCGCCGCGACGACAACGCGTTCGTGCTTCCGACGTCGCTGCGCGCGATCATCCCGCTGCTGTGCGCGCAGCAGATGGTGCGGATGATGATCATGAATCTCCCCGACATCGATTCCGACCTCCAGTGCGGCAAGATCACGTTGACCGCGCAATTGGGGCCGGAGCGGGTGGCGCGTTTGTATAGATTCACGCAAAACGCGGTTGGTGTCATGGCAGTGGTCTTGTTCGCGTGCGGGCACATGACGTGGCCCGTGCTCGTCGCGTTTCTCGTCGCGTCGACCAAGGGGATCAGCTTGGCGCGTCGCCTGGACACCATCGTGTTTGCTGGCGTTGGGATGAAGGCAAGGGACATGGATAAAAAAACAGATGGGGATCTTTCTGCTGCGGGGAAACTCTTGCACTATGGAGATCTTCCGTACCAGGCGACCATCCACGTGGCGTCAACGGCGCTGATGCTGGTCGTGGCGCAAGCCGTGGTGCTGTTAATGCAGTGAGTGAATTTGCGTCATCGACGGCGGTGGATGCTGGAAGTTTCATTGAGGTCGAGGGCACCACCGCGACTGAGTTTCATATGAAAGTGGTCGAGCGCGGATTTTGACGCGTAACTGAAGGCGCGTATACACAGTCTCCTTCTCCGGGCGTCCTAGCCGCTAAGTCGCGGATATTTAGCGAGTGGATGAGTGAAATGCCGTGGTTATGTGTGGCCTTATTCCGCCTCTCTCGCGATGTGCTACTTCTGCGATTAGGATTGGGTGAAAAGTTGGGTTGGATTAGGTTTGCTTGTGGGAAGGGGGGAAAGTTGTCTTATGGAACCAGCTCTCAAATCCCTAAGGGTTTTGAAAGGCTATTCGCAAATGTAAATACAGTATCGGAAACAACGGAGCACTCGATTGTATCACGATTCTTGTTCCGGGTTTCCACTCCCACTTCCCTCGTCGCTCGTTAATAGCACATCCCGTGAGGTTTCTTCTCACTCCAAACCCAGTCCTGACTCCATCTCACACCAAAAGCCAATTTTGCTTTCTCTCGCACACGAGAGAAGAAACTCTTCAAACGACAAGCTCGTTTGTGTGTGGGGGCTTATCTTTCCCGCGACTTCATTGTTTTTTTTTCAGGAAACACCGTATTGATTTCAAGGAATCAGACATATCTTTCATTGTCAGCCAAATCTGCTTTTGAGCGATCTGGTTTAAAAAATACTCTTCTATACTAACAGGTTATGTGAAGTCGAGAGAGAAAAAATAATACATGGCGTGATACAGTACAAAAATATATACCGAACCGCCAGTTCACGCAATCGTTATAAAATAATTGGGAAAGGAAGAAAGAGGGACACGTGTCTGTCGAAACTACGTGTTCCAGAAAATCGAGACAGCTTACGTTACTTCAGCACTTTAATCGGCAAGATCGGCATACCGATCCACTTGACGAGGCTTGGTTCGTCTTCTGGTTTCAGTTGGCTCGGCAACAGATACGCCAATCTACGGCGCGTCGCGAGCCAAGTCAGAAGTTGCGAGAAATCCTCTGTTCCGCGGGAGACGTGAAATTGCCGGGGAGACGAAATCGCGTGTTTCTCGCCCGTGGCCCGCGTCTTTTGTTCAAGCGCTGTACAACCCCCGCGCCCACGCTGCACGCACTATGGCGGCCGATAATAACGAGGATAATTTGGCGACGCGTGACTCTGCCGAGGGACCAGACGAGTGGACGGAGAGCAACAGGGCGGACACGGGGTTTGTGACACAAACGGGGGAAGAGGAGGAGGCGGAGGCGGAAGCGGAGGGGGAGCAGCAGGAATACGGGGAAGGGGGGGCGGAGGCGGAAGGCGAGGAGTACGCGGGGGAAGGGGAAGGCGGAGAGGAAGGGGAAGGCGGAGAGGAAGAAGCGGAGGAGGATACTGGGGAAGAGAACGGTTACGGAGAGCAAGGGGGAGCAGCGGAAGGCGGGGAAGCTGAATGGGAAGAGGAAGGGGGGGAGGGGGATGAGGGGGATGTGGAAGTGTGGGTGGCTGGGCAAGATGAAGCGGAGGGGGATGGCGGAGAGGTGGAGGGGGCGGGGGAGTGGGGGGACGCTCAGGGGGGCGGCGAGGGGGAATGGGAGGATGCGCGGGAGGGGGGAGAGGGGGACGAGGGGGATGTGGAGGTCTGGGTGGCTGGGCAGGATGATGCGGAGGGGGATGGGGGGGAAGAGGGGCGTGGGGGAGGTGAGGGAGAAGGAGAGTTAGGAGGGCCTGAAGGGGAAGGAGAGTGGGGTGAGGAAGCGGGAGAAGGGGAGGAAGCGGGGGAGGAGGTGGTGGAGGAAGGCGGTGAGGGGGAGGAAGCGGGGGAGGGGGAGGGGGAGTACCCTGGGTGGGCGAGTGAGGCGCTGCTGTCGTTTCTGGAGGAGCAGGGTGAGAGTGTGGAGGTGCCAATGTACTGGTCTGCTGTGAAGAAGATAGTAGCAGGGTACATCCAAGCCAACGGACTGCAGGTGAGCGGTTGAACAGGTGTGTGTTGGAGCCCAAGGGGTGCATTTGAATGCTCAAGGCAGCAAGGGTGCAAGGGAGTGCTGTGAGCAACTGCAGGGCGAGAGTGTGGACGTGCCTCTGTACTGGATTGCTGTGAAGAAGATCGTTGCAGGGTACATCCAAGCCAACGGACTGCAGGTGAGAGTGCATGTGTGTGTTCATGCAGTTGCTCTGTTGCTCTCTTTCCTCCTCCTCTGCAAGGTGAGAGTGTGGACGTGCCAATGTACTGGTCTGCTGTGAAGAAGATTGTTGCAGGGTACATCCAACCCAACTGACTGCAGGTGAGGGTTTGAGCCGGAGGGGTGCAGGCAACTGAGTAGTTGAGCCGAGAGAAATGCTCGAGGCAGAAGGATACAAGGGAGTGTGTGTTCACACAGTTGATCTCTTCTCTTGTTTCCGCTCTTCTTCTCCCCTCGTCCCTCTCCCCCTCCCTTTGCACCCGATTGCAGAAGGGCGAATGGATCACATGCGATGATGCGTTACAAGCTCTCCGCGATACAGATAGAACCACGCAGGCTCAGCTCTCCCGTTTCCCCCTTCACCCCTCGTCCCTCTCTCCCCCCTCCCGCCCCTGGTGGTAATTGCAGAAGGGCAAGTGGATTACGTGTGATGATGCGTTACAAGCGCTCTGCGATACCGATAGAACCACGCAGGCTCAGTTTTACTACACTCTCGCAACGCACTACCCCGTTAAGAGCTCTATCAAGGTGCCTAGGCGGCTGCTGAAGCGGCTAGCAGAGGAGGAGGCTGCTAAGAGGCAGCAAGCGACCACTGTTACTGCAATCACACATTGTATATTAACCTTACTTAGCCCAATTTGTCCTTTGCCTTTCCTCTGTTCCCGTTCCGATGCGGTGATTGCAGAAGGGAAAGTGGATCACATGCGACGATGCGTTACAAGCGCTCTGCGATACCGATAGAATCACGCAGGCTCAGTTCTACTACAGCCTCGCCACGCATTACCCCGTTAAGAGCTCTATCAAGGTGCCTAGGCGGCTGCTGAAACGGCTAGCAGAGGAGGAGGCTGGTAGAATGGGAGCGACATGTTCACACCGTGTATAACTCGCCTCTCCGTTTCCTGCCGGTGCTCCCCTTCCCAACCCATTCCCCACCTGGTGGTTGTTGCAGAAGGGCAGATGGATTACGTGTGATGATGCGTTACAAGCGCTCTGCGATACCGATACAACCACGCAGGCCCAGTTCTATTACACTCTTGCCACGCACTACCCCTTTAAGAGCTCTATTAAGGTGCCTAGGAGATTGCTGAAGCGGCTAGCAGAGGAGGAGGCAGCTAAGATGGCAGCGGGGGAGAAGGGGAAGGGGAAGGGGACGAGAGGAGGAGAGGAGGAAGGAGGAGAGGGGGAGGAGGAGGGGAAGGAGGGGATATGGAGTGGGAAACAGCTGGGAGGAGGGGGCGGGGGGGGGGGAGAGGGAGAGGAAGGGGAAGGGGGAGGGGGAAGGGAAGGGGAAGAGGGAGGGGGAATGCAGGGGAGAGTGTGACGAGAGGTAGAAAGAGATTGAAGAGTTACGGTGAGGTGGAAGGCGAGGGAGAGGAGTATGACAATGGTGAGGGAGAGAGGGATGATCGGGGGGATGAGGAGGAGGAGAGGAAAGGAAAGGTGGGGGAAGGAGGGAGGGAGGAGGATGATTCATGGGAGAAGGACTGGAGCTCAAGGGAAGGAGTGACACAGGAGCATGACCTAGCCGAAGAAGAAAACAAAGAGCAGATGAAGACAGGTAACGCGCGACAGCAGGAAAAGGAAGAGGAGGAGGAAGCATTTGCTCGAGACCATGATTCAAGGTCTGCTATCCCCGCAACTCACCTGTCCGATTCAAGGTCTATCCCGGAGCCGAGTCCGCGAAAGAGGAAGCGCGGCCGCCCCCCCAAGGCCTCTCGTGACAACCCATCCGCCACCACCGCTACAGCCGCTGCTACTGCAGCTGCCGATACCGCTGCCGAAACCAACACCACCCGCTACTCCGATCCATTCGCCTCTGACCCATTCTCCCCGGATTCTGATGCTCCTGAAGTCACAGATCCCTTCGCTCCCTCCCCTTTCGCTCCCTCCCCCTTCGCTCCCTCCCCCTCCGCCCGCTCCTCCTCCTCCGCGTTCCCCCCTGCTGCGCCCGCTCCCCCCCCGGGCCCTGAGTGTGGATACGCGGCCGTGACGCTGGCGAATCTGGGGGGCGTGTTTCTGAAGCGACGGCAGCTGGAGGGGCTGCTGGCGGATGAGGCGTTTGACCGCAAGGTGGTGGGCACGTTCGTCCGGATCCGTGTGCCGGGACCTGCTAACCAGACAGAGGCATGTTACCGCCTCGTGAGGGTGACAGGTGAGTGATACTGGGGTGTGTGAGGGTTGGGGTTTGGGCAGGGTTCAGGGCCACGGCACGAGGTTGGAGGGGCTGCTGGCAGATGAGGGGTTTGACCGCAAGGTGGTGGGCACCTTTGTCCGTATTCGCGTGCCGGGGCCGGCGAACCAGACTGAGGCATGTTACCGCCTCGTGAGAGTCACAGGTAGGTGGTGCTGTGTGGTTAGGGCAGGGTTCAGGTGCAAGGCACGAGGCTGGAGGGGTTGCTGGCGAGGGTTTGACCGCAAGGTGGTGGGCACCTTTGTGCAGATTCGGGTTCTGGGCCCGACCAATCAGACCGAGGCTTTCTACTGCCTCGTGAGGGTCACAGGTGAGATTTGGGGGTATGTCTTACTAGCATAGGGCACAGAGTGTAAGGGGTGTTCAGTCAGAGGAAAAAACGGCGGCTGGAGGGGCTGCTGGCAGATGAGGGGTTTGACCGCAAGGTGGTGGGCACGTTTGTGCGGATCCGTGTGCCGGGGCCGGCAAATCAAACTGAAGCGTGCTATCGACTCGTCAGGGTCACAGGTAGGTGCTGGTGGTGGTGGTGGTGTTGTGTTGGTGGTCCCCCTCCTCCCCCCCCGGGACCTGATTGTGGGTACGCGGCGGTGACGCTGGCGAATCTGGGCGGGGTGTTTCTGAAGCGAAGGCAGCTGGAGGGGCTGCTGGCGGATGAAGGGTTCGACCGCAAGGTGGTGGGCACTTTTGTCCGTATCCGCGTGCCGGAGCCAGCGAACCAGTCTGAGGCGTGTTACCGACTTGTGTGGGTGACAGGTGAGTTTTACCGAGGAAAGAGGGAGCTTACTTTTCTGTAGCATGGGGCAGACAGAGTGTAGGCCCAGGGGCCGCAAGGTGGTGGGCACCTTTGTCCGTATCCGCGTGCCGGAGCCTGCGAATGAGACCGAGGCATGCTATCGACTCGTGAGGGTGACAGGTGAGCGATACTGGGGTGTGTGAGGTTTGAGGTTGGGGCAGGGTTTAGGGCCAAGGCACGAGGCTGGAGGGGCTGCTGGCAGATGAGGGCTTTGACCGCAAGGTGGTGGGCAAGTTTGTGCGGGTGACAGGTAAGAAGCGAGAGTAGGGATTAGTTAGAGGAGGTTAGTCTCCCCTCCTCCTCACCTCCTTCCCTCATCCTCTCTCCCCCATCCAGGTTGCACGAGCCAGACGGACATATACCCAGGTGTGTGGGCTCTTGAATAATCTCTGTTTCCCCCGCCTCTCTCTCCCCCATCCAGCCTGCACGAGCCAGACGGACATATACCCAGTGGTCAAGGCCCAAGGGGCTCACCAACAGGGCGCTGCTCATCTTGTCTTGCTTCCTTCTCCTTTCCTGTCACTCCTCCCCTTTCCCCTCTCTCCCCCATCCAGGTTGCACAAGCCAGACTGAATTGCACGGAGTGGGCAAGAGGCTGACCAACAGGGTGCTGCTCATTCATGGCTCATCATCTCTCCTCCTTTTCCTTTTCCCCTCTTACCCCTCTGAATGGATCACCAGGTTGCACGAGCCAGACTGAGATGCACCCGGTGGGCAAGGGCCTCACCAACAGGTTGTGTTGCTCGTCAGTCTGATCTCAAGCCTTTCTGCCCCTTGCGTTTCCCCTCTTTCTTCTCGTTCAGGTTGCACGAGCCAGACTGAGATGTATCCCGTGGGCAAGGGCCTGACCAACAGACTGCTGCTGTTAATGAACCCCCTCTCCCCTGCCCTTTGCTTCTCACGTTTCCACATCTGTTCCTTTCCAGGTTGCACGAGCCAGACCGAGATGTACCCAGTGGGCAAGGGCCTCACCAACAGAGTGTTGCTCATCATGAATCTCAAGACGCCAGAGGCCACGACCATTGACCTTGTTTCCAATTCGGACTTCACTGAGGTAAGAGGGAGTGTGTGTGAGTTACTGAGTGAATGCTTGAGTGTGTGAGTGGGCGAGAGAGTCACGAGGGCCTCACAAACCGAGTGTTACTCATCATGAACCTCAAGACGCCAGAGGCCACGACAATCGACCTTGTTTCCAACTCCGACTTCACTGAGGTGAGAGGGAGTGTGTCTGAGTTGCGGTGTGAGTGTATGAGCGTTTGAGCAAGCGAGTGCTTGGGCTACAAAGGCCTCACCAACAGGGTGTTGCTCATCATAAACCTCAAGACGCCAGAGGCCACGACCATAGATAGACCTGGTCTCCAACTCCGACTTCACTGAGTGCGTGATTGTAAACAACAGCGGTGTGTGTATGCGCACATGTGTGTGTGCGCGTGCGCATGCTCGTGCGTATGGTGTGCCTGTGCCTGTGCCTGTGCCTGTGTGTGAGTGCGTGCGTGCGGGTGCGTGTGCGTGTGGGTGTGCGTGCGCGTGTGTGATGAAGGCGAAACCCGGAAAAAGGGCTCCAAAACGTCACCACTACAGCAAGTCGAGTCGAGTGGAGTCGAGTCGAGTCGAGTCGAGTCGGGGGGATCATCTCTCTGCTTGCTTACCTCGACTCGACTTGCTGTTCTGTTCTGTGTGATGTTTCCCCTCCCTACCTCTCTCTGCACGCCTGCCCTCCACTAATTGCGTGGCATGCTCTGCCCCTTCCCCCTTCCACCCGCCCACACAATACAGGAGGAGTGTCAGAAGCTGCGGCAGTACATGAAGTGGGGACTCGTGGACCGACTTACTGTGGTATGTGTGTCCTCCCTGCCATGCGTTGGAACCAAATATCACCGAATGCGCACATGCTGTGCCGTGCCTATGTCAGTAGCACAGTGGTAGTGTCAGAAGCTGCGGCAGTACATGAAGTGGGGGCTACTGGATCGGCTCACAGTGGTACGATTGTACTGTACTTCTGTGCTGTGCCGTTCCATTGTGCTATGTGTGTGCCCTTATGCTGTGCTCTGCTGTTTCATACCTATGTCGTTGACATTGCTATTCATACCATGCCGTGCCGTGCCATGCCATGCCATGCCGTTCCATGCTGTGCCATGCCATGTCAAAGCCATGCCAATGATTAGGTTCACATTATCAAGATTGAGCTCTGCTCTCTCCATGCGTTCTCTTCCTCCACTCCCCCTTCTCCATCTGTGTCAGGACGAGGTGGCAGCCAAGGAGAACGAGCTGCATGAGCTCAAAGTGAACCGGCTGTGCTGCCCTGAAAGCAAACTCATACACCTCATGAGCCTCTATCCTTGCCCCTCATCTCTCTCCGCCCTCCCCTGTGCCAGGACGAGGTGGCAGCCAAGGAGAACGAGCTGCACGAGCTCAAAGTGAACGACGTGAGTGACGGTTGGAGATAGTGGTGCGCTGTGCTGAGGTGCGGTGTGGTGCGGTGTGGTGCGGTGTGGTGCGGTGTGGTGTGGTGTGGTGTGGTGCGGTGTGGTGTGGTGTGGTGTGGTGCGGTGTGGTGTGGTGTGGTGTGGTGTGGTGCGGTGTGGTGGGATGTGGTGGAGTGATCTAGTCAAATCTGAGACCTTACCCTGAAGTGCTTTCTTGCGCTTCTTTACGTTGAAGCATCACTAGTGTAGTCTCGGTGATTAGACAATAGAGGAGTTGTAATGAGTCATAAAGAAAATAGCAAATAGCCATATCCTTCCCCTCTCGTCCGCTCTCTTTACTATTTCGCCTCTCCCCATCTTTCCCAGTGGTTGGAGGCAGAGCGAATGAAGCTTACTAATCTGAGGGACGGCTTGCAAGAAAGGCTCAGATTCACAACCTCTTCGCACCCCCTGCTCTGCTTCGCATTCTCCCTTCTTGTTGCCGTCCCCCACCCACCTCTCCCGGTGGTTAGAAGTGGAGCGTGTGAAGCTGACCAACTTGAGGGACGGGGCCAGGGCACAAATGTCAAACTCAGTCCCTTCCCCACTTCCCTGCTCCTCTGTACTTCCTCTATATTTTACTGCTGCTTTCCCTCTCCACCTCTCCCAGTGGTTGGAGGCAGAGCGAGTGAAGCTGACCAATCTGAGGGACAAGACGAGCGAGAAAAGCTCAAGCTCACAACCTCTCCCCACTCCCTTGCTCTGCTGTGCATTCTCCCTTGTTGCATTCCCCCCCTTTTTTCAGTGGTTGGATGCAGAGCGAGTGAAGCTGACGAATCTGAGGGACAGGGCTAGCGAGCGAGGATCCAAGAAAGAATATCCTTTCACAGCGACACTACTCTACTCTTCCCTCCTCCCTTGAATCAACCCCTACCTCACCTCATCCCACGCCTTGCCTGCAGCCACCCTTGTGTGGTCCTGACCTTGTCCTCTTCTGCTCCCCTTTTTCCTGCTCGTTTTTTTCTGCTCGCGTTTTTTGCTCTGGTTTCTCCTCTAGTTTCCTCTCGTCTCTGCACTCCTGTTTTCGTCTCTCCCAGCTCCCCCTCCCTCCTCGCTGTCTCTTGAGTTATTTTTTTAGACGCCTTTAAAATTATTCCTGTTTTCGTTTCTACCCAGCCCCCCCTCCCCCCTCGCTGTCAATTGCCATGCAAGCACTCTTCACTTCATCACTTGGTTTTCTCTCCTCTCCTCTCCTCTCCTCTTCTCTCCTCTCCTCTCCTCTCCTCTCCTCTCCTCTCCTCTCATACTCACCACTTGCCATTAGCTGTGCAACTGCCTCTCTCGCCTCTCTTCTTCTTCCGTCTCCTGACTCCTACCTACCTCCCTCTTCACTCGCTCGCTCCTCGATCTCCTCCCCGCTCTCTCTTCATCTCATGTTTTGAGACGTCTCAGAACACTGCAACTGCCTCACTCGCCTCTCTTTTTCTTCCATCTCCTGACCCCTACCTACCTCCCTCTTTACTCGCTCGCTCCTCGATCTCCTCCCCCCTCTCTCATCTCATGTCGCCAGCACCAGTTTTCCTTATCAACTTTAGCGTCCCAGTCATCAATTCTTCATGCCGACTTGAGCTCAGTACATCCAAGTGTTTCTTAACCATCTGAAACCCCTTTTTCCCCAATCTCCCACTGGATCTGGAAATCTTGTGCCGAATAAATGGATCTCTTTCAACCGCTTTCAACCGTTCCGCTCGCCACGCAATGGGAGTGTGTGCAAGCACTCAAGGAGTTGGACAAGCCGGCATTCAAAGCCAAGAAGATGGCTGAGTACCCAACCATTGAGGCGGACCCTGACCTCATGAACCTTTCTACTGGCGATTCCGATGATGAGGGGGAGAAGAAGAACCAGACAGGTAAGGGGCAGAGGGAGAGAGGGAAGACGGAAAGGAAGGGTGTGCAAGCCAGCCTTCAAAGCCAAGAAGATGGCTGAGTACCCAACCATTGAGGCGGACCCTGGCCTCATGCACCTTTCTACTGGCGATTCCGATGACGACGGTGATAAGAAGAACCAGACAGGTGAGGCCAAGGGGAGGGGAGAGGGACGGGGGTGGGGAGAGGGAGAGAAGATGGCTGAGTACCCAACCATTGAGGCAAACGCTGACCTCGTGCACCTTTCTACTGGTGATTCCGACGATGAGGGCGACAAGAACAAGACAGGTGAGGTCAAGAGGGAGTGAGGGAGGGTATGGGGAAAGCGCGGGCAGAGATGGAAAGAGAGAGGGCGAGGGAGGGAGGGAGGGAGGGTGGGAAGGAGGCAGGGAGGCAGGGAGGGAGTGTGTGCAAGCGTTGAAGGAGCTGGACAAGAGGATGGCTGAGTACCCAACCATTGAGGCGGGCCCTGATCTCACGCACGTATGCAAACTCCCTTTGTTCGCACGTATGCAAACTCCCTTTGTTCTTCCTTCCCTCTTCTCCGTTCCCCCTCCTCCCTCCCCTTTGCCCCTTCCCCTCTTCCGCTTCCCCCTTCCCTCTTCCCCCTTCCCCCAGAACCCTGGAGCCAGGTCACCCCCCATTCGCGTTCCAGGGGGGGAAGAGGGGGAGGGGAGATGGGTGGAAGGGGGAGAGGGGACGGTTGGGGGAGTGCGGCAGGAGCAGGAAGCGAGAAGAGGGAAGAGGATAGTGCACTCCCTCTCTCTCGATCCCTCTCTGGTTCTCGTTCGGAGGAGGAGGAGAGGGGGAGAGGAGGGTGGGGGTATGGGGAGGAGAGGGGCGGGTGGAAGGGGAGTGATAGGGAAGGGGATGGGGGGAGGTCGGACAGGGGAGGCGGGTGGAGGGGGAGGGGGGGGGGAGGGTTTGGAGAGCGGGGACGTGGGAGGTGGGGGGAGGAGGGGAGGAGGGGAAGGCGGGAGGAGACAGGAGGGTGGGGACGAGCGGAGGGCAGGGAGGGAGAAAGGGACGGGAGAGGTGGAAGGGGCTGGGAGAGAGAGAAGGAAGAGGGGAGCAGGGGATGGGGGAGGGATAGGGAGCGAGGTGAGAGGAGAGAGGGGCGGGAGAGAGACGGATGGGGGAGAGAGGAGAGGGAGAGAGAGGGCAGGAGCGAGGGCAGGAGCGGCGACAGGGCATGGAGGCGGGAGGGAAGTGGAGGAAGCAGGGAACGAGGAGAGGAGAGAGACGGGCGGAGGGAGGAGAGGGACGGCTGGAGGGGAGAGGCAGGGTTGACCCCCCAACAGCCACAGCAGCAGCAAGACCTCCCGCACCCTCAGCCGCAGCCGCAGCAGGGTACCATCATCAGCCGCAGCTTCAGCAGGTTCAGCTTCAGCAGCAGCAGGCGGAGATAGAATCAGCCTGGCGTGCAGAGCTGTCTCGTCTGGAGCAGCAGCAGCTGTGGCACTACCGCGACCCCCAGGGCGACCTGCAGGGGCCCTTCTCCCTCGCGCGCCTGCGCGGCTGGCTGCCCCTCAACGTGTTCCCCGCTGACCTGCGCGTGTGGCGCGTGGGGGAGGGGCAGGAGGCGGGAGTGCTGCTGGCGGAGGTGGCAGAGGGGAAGATGGATGCGTTTGCGAGGGAGAAACAGCAGTTCTGGACTGCTGCTGGTGCCGCTGTTGGTGCTGGCGGTAGTGGCGGAACGGGGCTGGCAGCAGCGGGAATCGGGCCAGTAGCAGTAGGGGCAGTGGGGCCAGCCGGGGCAGTAGCAGGCACAGCAAGCGGAGCAGCTTTTAGTGTGTCAAGCAGTGGGGTGGGGGGACCTGTGGCACCCCAATTCTCCCAAATTCCCCAGGTTACTCATTCCCCTCACGTTCCTCATGCCCCTCACGTTCCTCATGCCCCTCATGCTCCTCAGACGTATGGTGGCATGGAACAGCAAGGCACACCCGTTGGCGCTGGGGTTACTGCTGCTGGTGGGGCAGCAGGAGCAGCAGGAATGGGGAGTGCAGGAGATGATGGGTCAGGGTGGCAAAGCAGGGGTGGTGGCAGCAGCGGGTGGGGGGGTGGGTGGAGTGGAGGAAACAGGCAGGGTTGGGAAGGAGGAGAACAGGGTGCTTCTGGGGCAGGTGGTTTTGGAGCGGGTGCTTCTGGGGTAAATACCGCTGGGGTAGGTGGTACTGGGGGGGGTGGTAGTGGTAGTGGAGGTTGGAGGGGAGACAGTGAGGATGGGGGGTGGCTAAGTCGAGGGGGTGGCAGAGGGAATGAGGATGGGGGTTGGCAGAGTAGGGGTGGAGGGGAGGGACGGGGGAGAGGGAGTGACGATGGGGGTTGGCAAAGCCGAGGGGGAGGGGAGGGCCGGGGGAGAGGGAGTGACGATGGGTGGAGGGATGGTGGTGGGAGGAGGGAAATTTCGTTTCGAGGGCCGGGAGGGGGGAGAGAGCGAGGGGGTGATGAGTGGAGTGGTGGTGGCAGTGGAAGGTTTGGGGGTAGTGGAAGCGGAGGAGGGGAGGGTGATCGTTTTGCTTGTAGGTTCTTTGCCAGAGGGTTTTGTCGAAACGGGTCTAGCTGTCGCTTCAAGCATTAAGGCGAATTGATGTGATGTGTTGGAATGTTTGACAATATAACTACATGCCATTTCTTTGGAATATTGGATCGTTTGACTAACCAAATTCGTTGACGTTTCTGAAAATGTGAGGATTTTTCTTTTTCCATTTATGATCTGTAGAATATAGCGCGATCTCGATACTAGTGAGTCTGGATGCGAGTGTACTCCGTACTCCACTTTTGGAGGGGTCGCCGTATGTACGAGCCAACCAACAGGGGGATCCAAAACCACGTGACGTCACCTACGGTTGGTAGGTGAAAAATAGTATGTATGCTCCTCTGGCTAATTACTCATTTCTCATCTCTTCCGCTTACCTCCTCCAAAGGTGGTGCATTTGAGGCTGTTCTGCAAAACTACAGGCAGAACGCCGACTAAGCTCGTAGGCCGATGGTTTACGATGGGTGCCGAACGGCTGTCGCGACAAGCTGAATCGGCTGCATTTCGGATTTGAACTACTACTGATTGGTCCGTGTAGACACCCGTACCTTCATGGACGAACACTGATGTCGTAGTAGTGTTGTTGTACTGGTTTCCACTGATTAGTGTTTAGAAATTACTTTTTGAACGGTCTGTCTACCTTACAGCTGACTGCATTCTCAAATTCCAGTAGAACCGCACTCCACCGCTTGTGACGCTCGGCGTCTCTACCTACAGCTGCGGTCCATGATGTGGTAACCAGTATAAGCTTATTGATGGTCTTTTGTGCAAGCTCCCACGTGGGTCAACAAGCTTATCCTATGTGAGGGGACATCTAGTTAGATATCGATTTAACTGTTAAGACTAAGGTCCTGTGAAGCGGTACTGTATTGCGGAGTGAGTGTGGGGGCAAAGGAGAAGGTAGCGGTCATGGCGCCGACGTCGCGACATGGAGGAGGCAGTCCACGTGGCGGCAGTCCACGTAGAGGCAGTCCACGTGGCGACACGGAGAGCGTCGCACATGCGTTTCGCGAATGCGTGGACGACCCCGTGCGAGGCGTGCGACGGCTGGCGACGAGCCACGCGGCGATGCAGGTGCAGCGCTGGGCGATGCTTTCGTACGAGACGGCGAAGAACAATGTCGGGGCCGTCTGGCGCAAGTACCAAAGCGGGGAGCTCTTTAGCGCGAACACGCTCGAATCGGTGAAAACGTAAGGGGAAAGTGTAACATTACCTTTGTTCCATGGATCTTCGTACACGCCTGCTAATGCGGATGCACGAATGCGACTGCATGTTCCTTCGAATATGCGACTGCATGTTCCTTCGAATATGCGACTGCATGTGCATGCGAATGCAGGCGCCTGAAAGGCTTGCATGCATGCTCATGGTATGTGCGAGTAATCCCTTGCACTATGGGTCCGGTCCGGTCCGGTCCTCACACACGCGTGCAAACGCGACTGCGAAAGCGAATGCGCGAATGTACTGTGCGAAAATCGAGTTTTCAGTAACGCGTGCGAATCTCGCAAGCTTACAGCTCCAGACGTCATCAAACGCACTGCTGGGCGCCCACGTTATCCCTAATCCCTGAATCCTCTCCCGTTCCCGCTCCTTTGCCTCTCCAATGCACTCAATTGGTTTGTTGGGGTTGTAAAAATGACACTCCCTCATCCCCTCCAAGTTCTCTCATCCACACACCACACTCTCCCGTTCTTGCCCTGTCATCCTCTTCTCACCCCAACCATCAACCACCCTCCCCATCAGGTACTTACTTGTTCTACTTGTAAGATCACTCTTGCATTCGAGCAGGGAGCGTCTCTTCTGCGTGCTGTTGTCTCATCACGCCCTCCCTATTTCCCCCTCCCTCTCCCCTCCTCCCGCCCTTTTACCTCCCGTTTTTTCATCAGATTCGGTCATGACCTACTCGCCAGGGCACACGTGCAGGCGGGCAGGGCACACCTCTTCTGCGTGCACTCCCTCTCACGCCTCCCTCCCCCACTCGTCGCTCCCCTCCTCTCCTCTCTCACTCTCCTCCTCCTCTCTCCTCCTCTGGTCCTCCCTCCACTCCCCCACCACCCAAGTCTCCCACTTTGCCCCTCCCTCCTCCCCCTTTTCCTCCCTCTCCACCCACTCCTCCTCCGCTCTCACCGCTCTCAACCCATCATCAAGCATCTTCACCGCATGCCAGGAGCTGCTAGCAGCACATGGCAGGGCAGTGAGTGTGGCAGTGGGGGCGGATGAGGGAGGGCCGGGGGCAGCAGCAGCTGTAGCCGCCGCTGCTACTGCTACAGCCGCCGCTGCTACAGCCGCTGCTGCTGTAACTGCTGCTGCTGCTGCTGCTGCAACCGCTAACACCTCTGCCGAACCCCTTCTCACTCAAGACCCACAGCATCAACAACCAGCAGCACCGGACCAACCCAAGCCCGTCATCCCGGGGTCGACCCTCCTCACCGAACACGCCCTGAAATCATTCGAGCAGCGATACGAGTGCCTGGCTACCCAGGGCATCTGGGACCTAGACCCTGTCCCGCGCCAACTCCCCTGGTTCAAACTACGAAAGGGTTGGTCTGGATGGGAGTGTGATGCTGCCTGGTCCCGCCAAGCCTCTGAAACCGGCAATCTGGCCTTCACAGCTGCCGATGCTGTGGCTGACGAGGCTCGGCATGCACGGGAGTGGCAGGTTCGGGACGCGGCGAAGTACAGGTGGAGGGTGCACAGGAGGTGCGGGCGGTGGGGTGCGGTGGAGAGGGGTGAGCTGGCACGAAGGCTGGCGGGGCGGAGGGTGCTGATGGTGGGGGATGAGACGAGTGCCATGCTCTTCCTGTCCCTCCGCAACCACATGCTCATGCCGGGAGCGGGAGGGACGGGGGGAGGAGGAGCAGGGGGAGGAGGGGGGAGTGGAAGGGGCGGAGGAGGGGGTGGGTACGAGGGGTTGGAGCATCGGATCATGGTGCGGGATGAGGTGCCGGATTTCTGTGCCAGGCTGGACCTGAGGCAGCAGCAGGACTTTCCTGTCTGCACCCAATTCACGTTCGGCGACTCCGCGTCTGTCCTCTTCGTTCGGGACGACGTCCTCCGAACCTCGCCGCCCAATACCGACCCTGCAGCTCAGGATCCGGCTGCCGGACCTGCGGACGCATCGACCCTCTCGTTGCCCTGGTTCGACCAGATCAAGCCTAGCGGCAACAACGGCAGCAGTAACAGCGACATTTCCGTGCTAATACTGAATCGCGGATCGCACTTTGTGGAGGATGACAGGTTTATTTCTCAACTGAACGAAACCCTCTTCAAAGTGAGAGCAGCAGCACCGGACCTCCTCATAATCTACCGAAGCACGCCGCCCGGCCACGCCCACTGCGACCAGCTGCTTGCACCAATCGCAGAGCGCCAGGATCCTTCTGTTTTACCCAACCACTGGGGGGAGTTTGCCGCCCAAAACGAGTGGGCGAAGCGGCTGGTAAGGGCAGTTGGGGGCGTGTTCCTGGATGTTGACCCTATGACCGCTTTGAGGCCTGATGGGCACATTCGGCCACCATCTGACTGCCTGCAATATTGCCTGCCTGGACCTCCCGATGAGTGGACCAGATTGCTGTATCACATGCTGTTGGACTTGCTTTGACCTGTGTTTACCTGCTTAAAGTGTTCACAATTTGGGTGGTGGTGCTTTGATTTCATGCTCAAAGTTGCATAATCTTTACTGAACTTGCTCTTCTATGCTAACAGCTGAGATATTTTGTTCAGAAATTAGAATTGTAAAAAAATATTTGTTGCAGCTTCAGAAGTACGGGTTTGATGTGTGAAACCTCATGGGATGGGCTAAATGGAAAGGGTAGTGGAAAGCAGGAACATGAATCTTGACACAATATAGCACTGCTTTGATTTGATATATACACATTTGCGACTTCGTCCCAGGCTCAAATCTCGAACCCTAAAATAAAGCCAACACATCGCGAGTGGCAGAACAAATGTCACACCCATAATCACCAGGTAAGCACGGCTTCTCTCTCATCCACTCGCTAAAAAATCCATGGCTTCGCGGCCAGGGCGCCTAGAGAAGGCGAAGGTTTTTACGCGCCTTCGGTTCAAAAAAGCTGCGCTCGCCCGCTTTCAGTCGCGGTATCCCCCCATCGGTGGCCCCCACCGCCGCCGTGGATGACGCAATCTCACTCACTGCGTTATTAGCACCACGGCTTGCGCGACGACCAGCATCAGCGCCGTGGATGCCACGTGGATCGTCGCGTGGTACGGGAGATCTCCGAAGTCCAGAATACTCGAAAGTTTTCCCGCAGTATAATCCCCTGCATCTATTTTGTTGTTTCTTGCCTTCATCTCAACTCTGGAAAAGACGATGGCGTCCAAGCGACGCGCCAAACTGATCCCCTTGGTCGTGGCGACGAGAAACGCGACGAGCACGGGCCACGTCATGTGCCCACACGCGAACAAACCCACGGCCATAACACCAACTGCGTTTTGCGTGAATCTGTACAAACGCGCCACCCGCTCCGGGCCCAATCGCGCGGTCAACGTGATTTTGCCGCATTGGAGATCCGATTCGATGTCGGGGAGATTCATGATCATCATCCGCACCATCTGCTGCGCGCACAGCAGCGGGATGATCGCGCGCAGCGACGTCGGAAGCACGAACGCGTCGTCGCCGCGCCGCTGCAGCGCGCCCATCACCGGGACGCTGCACGTCAGCACGGCGGCAACGGTCGCTTCGCCCAAGCCGCGATAATGCAGCTTGAAGGGCGGCGCGGTGTACGCCCATGATAGGAACAGCGTCGCGCACGCGACGCATTGCGCGGGGGCGCGGAAGAAGGCGAGCTGCGTGACAACGCTCCCGACGAGCAGCACGTTCGCCGCGGCGAGCGCCAACCAGCGCGGCAGCAATCCCTCGGGAAGCACGCCCGAGCCGCCATTCCACTTTCCGCGTTGCTTGTTGGCAAGGTCGGCCTCGTAGTCAAAGTATTCGTTGTAGTAATGCGTCATGACGTGCGTGCACGCCACGAAGAACGCCACGGGAACGAAGCTCTCGATTCGAAAACGAAACCCGTGGTGGTGGCTGATGTCACGTGAGAGCGCGCCCATGAGAGCGAGCATTGACGAGTACGGAATGAACTTGAGTCGCCCAAGTCGCATAAGAGCGCGAAACGACGACATTTTCTCCCTCTCTTTCCCCCTAGGCTTGGTGTGAGCAAGATTGGGTGAAAGCGAGACCCTGTCTAATTTTTAGGCTGTTTTTTGCAGAGGCGAAAGATGGACGAGGCGAGTTTCTGGAGAAAACATGAACTCGATGGAATCTTTATACCGTAGGCTGAAACTGGAACCGCGTGGACGAAACTCGGCAAAGCAGGGTGCCGAGTTTCGTGGATAAGGGCGTAACGAAAGGGTTACCACATCACAAGATGTCGGCCACTGTGTGCTTCCAAGAACCTGGTGCCCTTGAAATGAGTCAACCGCAGGGATACAGGCGATGTTCGACAGCCGCCCAGCGGGAGCTGGGAGGAAGGTTGCGATATGGAGGGGGGTCCAACCAGAGTCAACAACAGTTGACCCTCGTTTGCGTGTTTCGCACAAAAACTGCACGCGTGGAGGGGAGCTAGCGAAAGGGTGGTTGGTGGGGGCACCTCGGTAACATTTTCGCGCCGAGTCCTCCCCCCTTCGCCCCAAATTCCCAGATTCTACCATACCGAAGCCTTCAGTAAGAGGCCCCCGCAAAGCCTGAAGGCTGAAACCGAGGAAACCAAGCAGCAGCCATGGATGCACGTGGCACAAGCTCACTGGAATGTCGTCCACCGGCTTCCCTGGGTTCGCATTTCTTGCGCGCCTTACGCTTAGCGCCAGCGATTGCGGCAAAGACAGTGATAGCTAGCAAGGCGACATCGCGACATCAATAGCGACAAGGGTATGATTCATACGCTAGGGTTGCTCCGACTCAGCGGTGCCGACTCTCACGCCGCGTCTCGTTTCATGTCAGAGGTCGATTACCTTTTGTAACCGCCGCGACGCAGCTTATGTCCGATTCCCTTCTACCAAGACGTGCTTCCTCCTTTCTTTCCGACCTGCTTTCCGCCTTGCTCCCCGCTCGGACCACGAATGGCAGTCTCGAATGAAGAGCCGTGTGAAGGCAACCCTCATATGAGCGCGCGGAATGTTCCCTTAAGCCTATAGCCTACACGCTTCCTCCGCTCGTCAATCAGACCACGAATGGCGGTCTCTGTCGAACGAAGAGCCTTATGAAGGCCTAACCTGTGTTTCAGGCAACCCTCATATGAGCGCGCGGATTGTTCCCTTGCCTTGCACGCAGACTCTCCAGAAAATAGTTTTATTGAGAGTGCGTACATTAGCACACCTTACCTTACCTTACCTTACCGTTCCAAGTAACCTTCGTAAGGTGCGCCGGCGCGCGTTGCTTCGACAGACCCCTGTAGGCGACTCACGGTGGCTCTCGTGGACCCGGTAACCTGCCCTTTCACACAGCTTTACTGTGACGATGCCTTTTACTCTAACGGTGCTTCGTTGCGCGCGGATTTTCACCAAGGCGAGACTCTCGCCAATATTCATTCCGAATGGATCTTCCCGTCCGCCTGTCGGATGGCGTTCTGCGTACTACCCCGTTCAGGGTACGCAAGAAAAGGACCGATCGCAGTTATCATGTGAACCGCATCTATCTTGTGCCCGATTTAAACGACCGACCGATCTGAGTTCTTCCCAGCAGCGGTTAGCCCGACGCTCAACGTGTCGCTCTCTCCCGTGCATTAGTAGCGAGCTCCTTCGTCGCGGCGTTTGCGCGCTGTACAGGCTGTCGTTCGTTCGTTCCCAAGTCTCGCGTGCTGCCGGTTTTATGCGAGAAGAAGCGCTGCATCATTACCGACTCCCGCCTCACACCTCGTTCGCGCGAGCTGAAACTACTGCCGCTGCCGCTGATGGCTCGATCAGTCCGCACCGGATTCGCATTGCTCGTCAGCACCTCGCTCCTCGTGACGTGTAAGCAACACAGCATGCAATGTGCTCGATTTCCTTCCACTGCTCTTCCCTGACGTGTAATCAGTGTGCTCGATTTACAACTTGTAGGATTTGCATTGCTCGTCATCACATCGCTCCCCCTGACGTGTAAGCAACACAGCATGCAATGTGCTCGATTTCCTTCAAGGATTTACGTCAGTCACTTTTTGCAGAAAGTTCTACTGCTCCTCCCGGACGCGGAACATTGCTTTGTCCTTTCTTTCCATACAGCTAGTTATTCTATGCAACCGTTTATCATTTTCACTGTACTGTGCTTATTCCAGGCACCTCACTTCCCCTGCGCCCCATCCCCTCCTCCTCCACCCCCGTCCTTCCCCCCCACCATCCCCGCTCCTTTCTTTTCACCTCCGCGTTTCCTCATCTTCTCCCCTTCTCGTTGTTGTCCTGACATCTTGCCTCCCAGTCCTTCCACCCTTCCCCGCCCGTCCCTCCTTCCTTCCCTCCCATCTTCCCTCCTTCCCTCCCTCCCTCCCATCTTCCCTCCTTCCCTCCCCCTCCCTCCCATCTTCCCTCCCTCCCTCCCTCCCTCCCTCCCTCCTTCCCTCCCTCCCTCCCATCTTCCCTCCTTCCCTCCCTCCCTCCCATCTTCCCTCCCTCCCTTCATCCCCCCCTCCCTGATTTCTTCATGCCCTCCCTCCCTCCCTTACCCCCATTTCCTGATTCCTTCTCATCACATTCCCATGCCCCTCTACCCTTCCCCACCCTTTTCCGCCCTCCCCCACCCTTTTCCGCCCTCCCCCACCCTTCCCCGTACATCCCCGCGTTTCCCCCCATCCCCTTCCCCTCCATGCGCAGCTGCCTGGCTGCAGCAAGCACAGGCGAGCCGCGCCCTTTCCCCCTTCCTCCCTTCCGCCCTTCCCCCCTTCCCCGCTTCCCCGCTTCCCCTAACCTCCCTGCCGTTCCCCACGTGTGTTCCCCCATCCCCTTCCCCTCCAAGCACAGCTGCCTGGCTGCAGCAAGCCCAGGTGAGTCGCTGGACCTGTCGTCCTTGCTGGTAACCCTATCGCCACTTTTGCTCGGAGAGTTCTGAACAGTCATTCTTTCGTGCCAGCACACACTATGTCTCTTTGACATTTCTTGTCGTTGAACCGGTAGCTAGCGTTTTGGGGTCCAGAAAGGCTGAGCATAAAGTGTTAAAACACCTTTCACGAAATTCTTATTCTGCAGTCCTTTATCTAAGTCGGTTGGTTCAGAACTTGTTACATCCTGATGCATGGGTAGTGTGCCTCATGAATCATTGCCGATGAATCAGCACCCTCCATGCGCTGTGATGCATGAGTCACCACAGTGCATGCCTCTCAACCCATGCTTCTCCCATTTTCACCGTTGAAGCGCACGGGCCTGACACGCCATGGCATGGGATCATGATCCATGCATCGTCACCACGTGACCATCACAATGCGACTGACCATCACCATGCGACCATATCCATGGGGCCATCCCTTGTGGCATAACAAATGTTCCATGACACAATGCATGTGTGACTGTGTCTTTCCCCCATGGCCATCCCACTCCCGCAGTGTTCAAGTGGACGGACCTGGCATGGCATGACCTGTGGCTCATGGATGATGAGCTGCAACTTCACTCGGGCAAAGCGTCTTCGACCCCTTGTTGTTGGCGGGCAGTACATGTAAGTCCGGGCAGCATCAAGAAAATCTGGGGCAGTATGGGTAACCTCAGAGCAGTATGAAGAGATCATGGGCAGTATGGTTTCATAATTAATGAGAGTGTGCAAAGATCCATGATTTTTTTCTCTCTCTCATGTCTGTTTCTGCTTGAGTGCAAGCGAGCAGCAGTTCAGCACCTCCTGATCTCAAAAGCCCTGCAGATTCCATTCCATGTCCATGATTGCAGCGAACCAACCATCAGCAATTAGGGTTGAGGGTGATCGTGGCTTGGTCCCCTTGTTGCGGCTTGCTTGCCACGTCATCCCAACAGCCATGTCCTACCTTCTGCACCTCTCCATTGCCATCCATCAATATCACTATCGATCTTAGTCTCCGTCATTCATGTCTATCAGAATCTCGCAATATGTCCGTCCGTCCCTCACCGTCTCACTGTGGCAGGTACAAGGGGCTGTCCCTGGAAGTTTTCTCCACTCTATTTCGCCTCGAGTAGCATCGTCGTTTTGAGGCGGTCGCAGACACTAACAGAATCCCACTGTTGTAAATGCCATCCCTCACCATTTCATTGTGGCCAGATCCAAGGTGACAGCCATATGGGAGATTTTTTCGCTCTAATTCGCCTCGAGTGGCATCCTGCAGTGTCGCTGCTACAAGGTGAAGCTGCCAGTCGTGATCGACAACCTTGGATGACATGAGAAGCACGCTTGATCAGGTTGCAGCATTGATTTTCACCTCTTTTTCACCTCGAGTGGCATCCTGCAGTGTCGCTACTACAAGGTGAAGCTGCCAGTTGTGGTCCACAACCTTGGGTAACCAGGAGGCTCTAGATTGTGGTCCAGAACCCTGGATGATGTGAGAATCCTGTCTGGTTACAGTCTGCACTATTAGCTGTCTTTCTGCTTTACGTGGCCTGGCATTCTGTAGTGTAGAGTGGTTGTTATGAAGAGAAGAGATGAATCGTGGTACAAGCCCCTCCATGACTACAAAAAAACGATCAGTTATAGTTGGTCTATCAACAGGTATTTTGAGTAATATGTACATGGGCATGAAAAGTCGAAATAGTACATAAAAAGATGAGATATAAGAGCAATACATTTCATGTCAACTCCTTCATCGGCTTTGAACATTGTTTTGATTCATCAATACACGTGTTGGCCGCCAGAGTTCGAATTCGCCCTTAGAACCGTGACGTGGAATGGTACAGGCAATCTGCTGGCTTCCTCAGCGTTGGCCTTGGCGAAAGCAAACTCATTCGACGAATCGCGCTTGCCCTGTCATCCAGACTCACCTCGAACCAGGATTTGTCACACCAGCTCCCCTGAGAGCCTCGGGCAAGCCGAACCTTAGTCCAGCCGGACGGTGTCTAGGCTCGGAAGGGTCTAGATTTCCCTGCCACGCAGACTGACCAATCATAACCGTGAATTTTGGTTCTATGCTAGCCTCGAAATTTGAGAAATCAGACGTGCTCGGCGCGCATTAGCTCCAAAATTAGAGCAGCTGTTGTCAATGTTTCGCTATTGAAGCCATGGCGGCTTTTCCCGAGTCCTAATTTGGCGGCTTATTCCTCCTCTCCTCGTGAAGATCGATAGGAGTGTCGAAGTGTGAGTGAACCGCCCCTCTTTCAAGAAGCTTTCAACCACTTGTATTAGCCCAGTCACTAAGGAAGAGTCTTCCTGGTCGCAATCAGTCCTGTTCATCCTATTCGCGTGTCGCCGAATTCTCAATTGATCATGAGCGCGGCAATGGCTAGATTGACCGCGTTCTTGCCTCTACGGTACATCGTGAACGGTATTTCGAACGGAAATTCAGAATTCTTACCAAAACCGGCTTCCATTTCTGAACTACAAGCGAATCTGAGAATACGAGTTCCAGCAGTAGCTTTACGAGAGAGACTGGAAAGACGGAACCGCGGGTTTAGGAGGCGGATTGTGCGAGTTCAGGCGGAAGATGGCTCCTCAACTGCTATTGGCGGCTCGAAAGCAGATAGCGAAGCTGCTGGTTCGGTGAAATCCGAAAATTCTGGTGTGGTTGGCAAGAACAGCGATCCTGTGCAAGCACAACCAGCGAAAGATAAAGCTATCGATGAGGAAAAGGAGAGGGAGAAGGAGCGGCGGAGACAGCAAGCGCTGCGGCAGGCGGCGCGGCGAGCGGGGACGCCGCCAAGCAGCGCAAGCGGCGCTGGCGGCGCCAGTGGCGGCGGCGGGGAGAGCGGGAAGGAGGGCGAGGGGGCGGTGAAGGGGGGACTGCTGATGGGGCTGGCGGAGGCTATCGAAGACGCGTTTGGCGCTACCAGCGAGGGGCGGGGTGGTGTTGACAAGCTGGATATCGCCAAGGTGAGTCCCTGTGGAGCGGTGTGGGGGCTGGAGGAAAGGTGGACATCAAGGTGAGAATGGGTCAGTCTTTTGAGACGTCTCAAAAGTCCCTGTGGAGTGGTATGGGGGCTGGTGGAAAGGTGGATATCGCCAAGGTGAGAGTGGGTCTGGGGCCGGTGCGGAGTCAGTGAGGGGTGAGGATGGGTGCGGATGGGTGTGAGAGTCGCTCAAAGGAACGTGATGGAATAGGGATGGGTGCTGAGGGCAAGACTCACTGGAGAGTCACTTGGTACTCACCCAAGATGGACACTCATTCATTCCCACTTACCCCCCTCACCTCAACACCCCCCACCCAGCCCCCCCAGCCCTCCCAGCACCATTCTGAATTCCGCGTTCCCATCCAACCCCCTACAGACTCCCCCCATCCCTCCCCCATACTCTTTCCCTCCCCTCCCCCACTCTCAACCCTCAGCTCCGCACCTGCTTCTCCTGCTTCTCCGACTTCTGGCCCACAGACTCCCGCCCCTACGGCTCAGGCGCACTGTTCACGGGCAACCTGCATCACAATTCCCTTCCCCGTTCCTCCCCCCGTCCCCCTCTTGCCCCTCAGCTCCGCACCTGCTTCTCCTACACGAATTTCTGGCCCACTGACCCCCGCCCCTACGGCTTAGCCGCACTGCTTAGGGCCTCTTCCGTTTCCCTGTCTTACCTCTCCCCCCCTCACCCCACACCCCTGTAACAGCTCCGCACCTGCTTCTCCTACACGGATTTCTGGCCCACAGACTCCCGCCCCTACGGCTCAGGCGCACTGTTCACGGGCAACCTGCGCGCTGCTGACGTGGCGGACGCGCGGGAGAGGCTGGAGACAAAGCTGGGTGATGCGGCTGGATGCCCTGTGGCCGTGTTCTTCCTGAAAGACGAGAGGCGGGAGAAAGAGGTGGGTGCTTGCTTGAGGCGCACTGTTCACGGGCAACCTGCGCGCTGCTGACGTGGCGGACGCGCGGGAGAGGCTGGAGGGGAAGCTGGGCGAGGGTGCTGGATGCCCCGTGGCTGTGTTTTTCCTCAAGGACGAGCGGCGAGAGAAGGAGGTATGTTTTGTTGGTGGGTGGGTGTGTGGATGGGTGGGTGGTGAAAGGGGGTGTGTGATGCATATGCATCACTAGTGAGAGGGGAGAGGCTGCTGGATGCCCGGTGGCCGTGTTCTTCCTGAAAGACGAGAGGCGAGAGAAAGAGGTGGGTAGGGGTGTGGGGTGCATATGCAGCACTAGCACAGCTAGCAGGTTCAAGCGAGAGGGATGAGGCTGGAGGCAAAGCTGGCCGAAGGTGCCGGTTGCTCCGTGGCGGTTTTCTTCCTGAAAGACGAGAGGAGGGAGAAGGAGGTGGGTAGGGGTGTGGACTGCATATGCAGCACTAGCAGGTTCAAGCGAGAGGAGTGAGGCTGGAGGCAAAGCTGGCCGAAGGTGCCGGGGGAAGCTGCGTATAGTGCAGCAAGTATCGTCTATCAATCGTCGTCTCGCCCTCACCACTCTCACCGGCCTCTCCCGCTGGCCACTCATGCTGCTCTCCCTCCTCCTCTCTTGCTATCCCTCCTTGCGTTCCCCTCTTTCCCCCTTGCCCTCAACCGCCCATCAGGTGTGCATAGTGCAGCCAGTATCCTCCATCAACCGTCGTCTCGCCCTCACCACTCTCACCGGCCTCTCCCGCTGGCCGCTCATGCTGCTCTCCCTACTGGGTTGCCTCGCCACCACTGCCACTGTCTCTGGCGTCAATCTCGACCCCTATAAAGTTGGCCTGGGGGAGTCAGCTCACCACGCCCTGCCCCTCACTCTTGGTCTCGCGGCCGTTGTGGGAGTTGGTGAGGTGAGTGGTGCTTTCCTTACCTGCCTCGCCACCACTGCCACTGTCTCTGGCGTCAATCTCGACCCCTATAAAGTTGGGCTGGGGGAGTCAGCACACCACGCCCTGCCCGCCTTGCCACAGTTGTGGGAGTTGGTGAGGTGAGTGGTGCTTCCTCAAACCCGCTTCTCTTCTTGTGTGTTGCCTGCCTCGCCACCACTGCCACTGTCTCTGACGTCAATCTCGACCCCTATAAAGTTGGCCTGGGGGAGTCAGCACACCACGCCCTGCCACTCACTCTCGGCCTTGCCACAGTCATTGGTGTGGGAGAGGTGAGTGCTTTCTCAACCCTGTCCTTCTTTCCCCTCCACCTTCCCTTCTCTCCCTCCTCTCCCTTCTCTCCCTCCTCTCCCTCCTCTCCCTCCTCTCCCTCCTCTCCCTCCTCTCCCTCCTCTCCCTCCTCTCCCTCCTCTCCCTCCTGGGTTGCCTCGCCACCACTGCCACTGTCTCTGGTGTCAATCTCGACCCCTATAAAGTTGGTCTAGGGGAGTCAGCACACCACGCCCTGCCTTTAACCCTCGGCCTTGCCACAGTCATCGGTGTGGGAGAGGTGAGCTCTTTGCCTTCAAAACGGCCTTTTCCTTCTCTGTCCTACTTGCCCTCCACCTGCCCTGTTAGCCTCTAACCAAAGAGTTGGCCTACTTTGCTGTCTTTGGAGTGAATCTCGACCCCTATAAAGTTGGCCTTGGGGAGTCAGCAATCGCAACCCCTATGGCATTGGGGAGTTGCCTCACTACGCCCTCTTCCAGGCTCTCGGCCTTGCCACGGTCACCGTTGGCCCACCCCTCTCTTCACACCCCAGCTCGTCCAGTGCATCATGGCTGGGTGATACGGGGTAAAGCTCCCCCCGCCCTACCTCCTCCTTCCCTTTCTCACATGCACTCGTTACCTATTATACGGGGTAAGGCACTCCCCGCGCTACCCCTACCTCCTCCCTTTCTCTCACACACTCATCACCTATCATTCCCTACCCTCCATCCCACTACCCAATTCACCCCTGATCTTCCAACGTATCATAGCGGGTCGATACGGGGTAAAGCTCTCCCTGCCCTACCTACCTTCTCCCCTGCTCACACCCATTCGCTGCCTCCTTCCCGTCCCTCCATCCCACTACCCAATTCACCCCAGACCTTCCAACGAATCATGGCAGGACGTTACGGAGTAAAGCTCTCCCTGCCCTACCTCCTCCCCAACCCACCTTGCTTACGCACTCTCCATCCTCCCTCCCTCCCCTGCATTCTCCCACCACCCCCACACCAACAGATCTTCCAACGAATCATGGCAGGACGATACGGGGTGAAGCTCTCCCCGCCCTACCTCCTCCCTCGCATTCTCACACACACTCGTTACCCATTCCTCCCTTCACCACCCCATCCCCAACACCAACAGATCTTCCAACGGATCATGGCCGGGAGATACGGGGTGAAGCTCTCCCCGACCTACCTCCTTCCTGGTCCTCTTGGCTGCCAGGGCACTGCCACTCGCTTCGAGTCCTTGCTGCCCTCCTCCCGGGTAGGTGGTCAGGTAAGAGCAATGAGGTGAAGGGTAAGGCAGTGAACTGAGGGGTTAAGGCGTGCACCTCTCCCCGCCCTACCTCCTCCCCGGCCCCCTGGGCTGCCGCGGCACCGCCACTCGCTTCGAGTCCCTGCTGCCCTCCTCCCGAGTAGGTGGGGTGGATGGATGGTAGAAGGGAATGAGAGGGAGGGGGGGTAAGGTGCGCACCTCTCCCCGCCCTACCTCCTCCCCGGCCCCCTGGGCTGCCACGGCACTGCCACTCGCTTCGAGTCTCTCCTACCCTCTTCACGGGTACGTGGTAGGGAGAGAGGCATGGGAGTCGACTCGAAAGGGGGTATGGCCTGCACCTCTCCCCTCCCTACCTCCTCCCCGGCCCCCTGGGCTGCCGCGGCACTGCCACTCGCTTCGAGTCCCTCGTGCCTTCCTCCCGGTTAGGTCATGACTGGGGTGAACGGTGCGAAGAAGTCAGGGGGAATTGGAAGTGGCCTAAAGGGGTGGGGCAGTCAAATTTATAATCGACTCAAAATTGAATTTTCACAAGTGGCCTAAAGAGGTGGGGGAGGGGCGACTTTTTAGTCGACTCAGAAATTGACTTACCCCAGGTGACTTAAATAGGTGGGGCAGTGAGCCTAGGGTTAACCCGAGCACCTCTCCCCACACTTTCTCCTCTGTACTGCCTCTCCTCAGTGGCTCTATCCCCCTTTTCTTCTCCCAACTCTCCCAACCAGGCGGTGTTTGACATATGTGCAGCCAAGGCTGTGGGATTAGTCATGACGTCGTTACAAGAGCAAGTCATTCTCCCTATCTCAACTCAGACCCTATCCCCATTCTCCTCCGCCCCACCCCACCCCACCAGGCCCTGTTTGACATTTGTGCTGTGGGATCATTCATGACGTCATCCATTGTGGCGTGCATGGCGCTGGCAGCTGAATGACTCTTTCTCCTCTCGTCTTTCCATTTCCTCTCCCCACCAGGCCCTGTTTGACATATGTGCAGCCAAGGCGGTCGGTTCATTCATGACGTCGTTTATCGTGGCGTGTGTGGCGCTGGCAGCTGACGGGGGTGTTGATGGCGGCATCGACCCCATGTGAGTCCCTCTTGACTCCCCTTGACTTGCCATGTTGACTCCCATTGACTTTCTTGTCATTCATTCTAGCGTTCGTGGCACTGGCAGCTGATGGGGGCGTTGATGGCGGCATCGACCCCGTGTGAGTCCCTGCCTGCCTTGTTGACTTGCGTTGACTTCAATTGACTTGCTCTAGGTTCACTCTGATTTTTTTTCTGCATCCTCTCTCTGCTTCCATGGTCCAGTTTCACCAGATCTTACAATTCATTTTAAATAGATGTAGGAATGTGTCGTTGAATTCTTTGGGCATCCAACAACTATCTGTTGTCACGTTTCCACATCTGTTTACATCTATGTTACAATATGTCTTAAATCTATCCAGTCGCTGCTAATGTGCACATCGATTCTGCCTTAGTCTCTGCCACCCACTCCACCTCCATTTTGTCACTGATGATCCTTCTTCGTGTGATCATGGCAAGCTACTAGCGACCCTGATTTCACATCTGGATTTTCTAACCTTTTTTATAGAATCGTCCTCTTTCCAATATCCAGCATGCAGGGATTTTCCCTCAAAGTTGATTTTTTAGTCAAATCGGAAGTCAACTCATCGTTTTTTTCTCACGATCCAGCACGCATGGATCATAACCTCTCAAATCTCATGCGCTCGCTTCACAAGATGCCCACACACACGAGTAACTCTTCCCGATACTTTCTGTGCTATAACTCCATCTGGTCGGCCTTCCTGAAATACATAGAATGCAAAAAGGGCGGACTGTCTGGCGTTGAAAATGTTCTCCATCAACTGGTTCGGCCACTTGTCAATGGCGTGAGACATCCGCTTTGGTTGCCGCGGTATGTATATACATCGAACCAAGACATAAAGAGGACGTCTCACGCTATTGGTAGGTGGCTGAACCAGTCGAATGAGAGTATATTCAATGTCAAACAGTCCATTTTTTCTGCATTCTACGTGTTCAAGAGGGTCTATTAGTTGGAGTCATAGTTGAACAAGTACTCAGAGAGGTTCTCATGTCTAGACACCTCATAGATCGTGTCTTTTCATCCCCCTACACCTTCCCAAATAGCATTCTCCTCTCCATCTCTCTCCTCACATTCCGCATCAGCAAATGCCATGCCTCCTTCCTTTTGCCGCTCTTCCCTTTACCCCTCTTCCCTCCCACCCTCCTCTTATTGCCCTCTTTCACTGTCTTTCTCCCCCCATGTCCCACCAGGTACATCGAGCCGTCCTTCTTCGCCCCCAACCTCCTCCTCTCCTTCATTCAGAACATCATCGGCCCATACTCCTTCACAACTCCTCCGCTTTCACTTTCTCTCCTCCTCCCCCCACCTCCCACCAGGTACATCGAGCCATAGTTCTTTGCCCCCAACCTGCTCCTCTCCTTCATCCAGAACATCATCGGCCCATACTCTGACGACCTGGGCAACGTCATGCCCAACGCTGTCGAGGGGCTGGGCGTGCCAGTGAATCCCCTGGCGTTTGCAGGGCTGCTAGGGTTCGTGATTACTGCACTCAACTTGTTGCCGGCTGGGCAGCTGGACGGGGGCCACATGGTGCAGGTGGGTGCTGGTGTATCCACGTGGATGGGTGGGTGTAGAAGGCACAGCCTCTGTGTGTGCAGTTTCTTGCAACGTCATGCCCAACGCCGTGGAGGGGCTGGGCGTGCCGGTCAACCCCCTCCTTTCGCAGGGTTGCTGGGGTTTGTCATTACCGCACTCAACCTGCTGCCAGCTGGACAACTAGATGGGGGGCACATGGTGCAGGTGGGTGGGGGCAGAGGGTGTTGCTGGGCTGGGCATGGCTGGGCGTGCCCGTCAACCCTCTGGCGTACCAGTGAATCCTCTGGCGTTCGCTGGCCTGCTGGGTTTCGTGATTACGGCACTCAACTTGTTGCCTGCTGGGCAACTAGATGGCGGGCACATGGTGCAGGTGGGTGGGGGCAGAGGGTGGGTGTGTGCAGATGGGTACAGCCTCCCTGGGTACTGCTGCTTACACGGATACAGCTCACAGGAATCACGCCCAACACAGAGCATCATCGGGCCATACTCCGACGACCTGGGCAACGTCATGCCCAACGCTGTGGAGGGGCTGGGCGTGCCAGTGAACCTCCTCGCCTTCGCTGGCCTGCTGGGATTCGTCATTACCACACTCAACTTGTTGCCATCCGGACAATTGAATGGGGCCCACAAGGTGCAGGTGGGTGGGTGGGAGCTTCTCTATTATCTGCTGCTGCTGCTCGAGCTGATACTGCTTGCATAGTTCACAGGGCCATACTCCGACGACCTGGGCAACGTCATGCCCAACGCTGTGGAGGGGCTGGGCATGCCAGTGGGTAGGGGCAGAGGGTACAGCCTCCCTGGGCACTGCTGTCTTACAGGAATCATCATCGGGCCACCCGTACTCCGACGACCTGGGCAACGTCATGCCCAACGCAGTGGAAGGGCTGGGTGTGCCGGTCAACCCTCTGGCTTTTGCTGCGCTGCTGGGGTTTGTCATTACAGCGCTGAACCTGCTCCCAGCTGGACAACTAGACGGGGGCCACATGTTGCAGGTGCGTGGGGTCAGACGTTGGGTGCAAAAGTGACCGTAGGCTGACACGGGAAAGACCTGGGCAACGTCATGCCCAACGCTGTCGAGGTGCTAGGGGTGCCGGTAAACCCTCTCGCTTTCGCAGGCCTGCTGGGGTTTGTGATCACGGCACTCAACTTGTTGCCGGCTGGACAACTGGACGGGGGGCATATGGTGCAGGTACGATGCAGTAGGGTTGGAGCCGAGGGTACAGCTTCTCTGGGTGCTTGCTTACAATGATACAGCTTGTGTAGTCGAGGGTTGGGGCCATAGGCTGGGACAGGAGCGACCTGGGCAACGTCATGCCCAACGCAGTCGAGGGGCTGGGCGTGCCCGTCAACCCACTAGCTTTTGCAGGGCTGCTGGGGTTTGTCATTACAGCGCTGAACCTGCTGCCTGCTGGGCAGCTGGACGGGGGGCACATGGTGCAGGTGGGTGGGGGCAGAGGGTGCAGCCTCTGGTGGTGCTGCTGCTGACTCTGATACGGCTTATGTAGGTCATAGGCTGGGTCTGGAGCGACCTGGGCAACGTCATGCCCAACGCTGTCGAGGGGCTGGGCGTGCCAGTCAACCCACCTGCTGGTTCATAAACAGGTAACGGCTTACAGGGGTCATAGGCTGGGAATGCAGCGACCTGGGCAACGTCATGCCCAACGCCGTGGAGAGGCTGGGCGTGCCGATGAATCCCCTGGCGTTCGCAGGGCTTCTGGTTTTTGTCATTTCGGCTCTGAATCTGTTGCCGGCTGGACAACTCGATGGGGGACACATGGTGCAGGTGGGTGGGTGGGTGGGTGCAGAGCAGACAGCCTCTATAGCTGGTGGTGGTACGTGCACAGTTATCCTTCATTCAGAACATCATCGGGCCATACTCCGACGAACTGGGCAACGTCATGCCCAACGTTGTCGAGGGGCTGGGTGTTCCCGTCAACCCTCTCGCCTTCGCAGGGCTGCTGGGGTTTGTGATTACCGCGCTCAACCTGCTGCCTGCTGGACAACTAGATGGGGGGCATATGGTGCAGGTGCGATGCAGTAGGTGCTGGGCTGGGATGGGATGAACTGTTTGTGCCCGTCAACCTTCTTGCCTTTGCAGGCCTTCTGGGGTTCGTGATTACAGCACTCAACCTGCTGCCGGATGGACAACTGGACGGGGGGCACATGGTGCAGGTGGGTGGGTGGCGCAGAGCCAACAGCCTCTATAGCTGGCGGTGGTACGTGCACATGTAACGGCTGACAGGAACCATCGGGCCATACCCCGACGACCTGGGCAACGTCATGCCCAACGCCGTGGAAGGACTAGGGGTGCCAGTCAACCCTCTGGCATTCGCAGGGCTGCTGGGGTTCATCATCACGGCGCTGAATCTGTTTGCCGGCTGGGCAGTTGGACGGAGGACACATGGTGCAGGTGGGTGGGTGGGTGATGCAGAGCAGACAGCCTCTATAGCTGGTGGTGGTACGTGCACAGGCAACGGCTAACAGGAATCATCGGCCCATACTCCGATGACCTGGGCAACGTCATATGGAGTGGTCGGAGAGAAGGGCAAAGAGTAACGTCGAGGGTCAAGCAGCGGTTTTCAACGTGGATGAAGATGGGCCTGCTGACATGGAGGTCGATGGGATAGAGGTAGACGGGATGGCTGCTGCTGTGCGTGCCACCCCATCTACTTCTGTCCCATCGACCTCCATGTCAGCAGGCCCATCCTCATCCACGTTGAAACCAGTGCTTGATTCTTGCCGTAATGCAGGCCCGGGCGGCGCAAGGCCAAAATCACCACACTTATAATATTGGCCTTCCTGGCCCTTGGTGGTTTTTCAGGCAGCGTGCTTTGCTCCTTCTGGGTCTTCGTCATCCTCACCTTCCATCACCCTTCCCTTCTATCCAGGCCCTGTTCGGTCGGCGCAAGGCCAAGATTACGACTCTCATTACTCTAGCCCTGCTGGCCCTGGGAGGCTTTTCAGGCAGTGTGCTGTGCCTCTTCTGGGCCTTCATCATCCTCGCTTTCCCTACCTTCCCTGCCTCTCCTTCCATCACCCTACGTTTCTGCAGGCCTTGTTCGGCAGGCGCAAGGCCAAGATTACAACCCTCATAACACTGGCTCTAGGCGGCTTTTCAGGCAGTGTGATCTGCCTCTTCTGAGCCTTCATCATCCTCGCCTTTCCTGCTTTCCCTGCCTTTCCTTCCATCACCCCCACTTTATGCAGGCACTATTCGGCAGGCGCAAGGCCAAAAATAACACTCAACCTCATTGGCCTTTCTGGCCCTGGGGGCTTTCCCGCCAGTGTGCTGAGCCTCTTCTGGGCCTTCATCATCCTCGCCTTCTGCGACAGTGAGGAGCTCCCCTTACCCTACCCTCTACCTCTACCCTCTACCTGCTAATCTCAACAGGCTCTATTCGGCAGGCGCAAGGCCAAGATTACGACTCTCATCACGCTTGCGCTCCTGGCATTGGGTGGTTTCTCCGGCAGTGTGCTGTACCTCTTCTGGGCCTTCATAATCCTCGCCTTCCCTGTCTGCCCTTTGCCTTCTGTTTCCCCTCCCTTCAATGCAGGCTCTATTTGGCAGGCGCAAGGCCAAGATCACCACTCTAATTACTCTGGCCCTGCTAGCCTTGGGAGGCTTTTCCGGCAGTGTGCTGTGGCTCTTCTGGGCCTTCATCATCCTCGCCTTCCCTGCTTCCCCTTGCCTTCTGTCACCATGCCCTCCTATGCAGGCCCTGTTTGGCCGGCGCAAAGCAAAAATTACAACCCTTATCACTCTAGCGCTACTGGCCCTGGGAGGCTTCTCCGGCAGTGTGCTGTGCCTCTTCTGGGCCTTCATCACCCTCGCCTTCCCCCCCTCCCTTCTCTCACCCTTCCCTTCTATCCAGGCACTGTTCGGTCGGCGCAAGGCCAAGATAACGACTCTTATCACTCTGGCCCTGCTAGCCTTAGGTGGTTTCTCCGGCAGTGTGCTGTACCTCTTCTGGGCCTTCATCATCCTCGCCTTACCTGTCTGCCCTTTGCCTCCTGTTACCACTCCCTTCAAAGCAGGCCCTGTTTGGCCGGCACAAAGCAAGACTTACAACCCTTATCACTCTAGTCCTGCTAGCATTAGGTGGTTTCTCCGGCAGTGTGCTCTGCCTCTTCTGGGCCTTCATCACCCTCGCCTTCCCTCCCTGCCCTTGCGTCCTGTCCCCTTCCCTTGTTTCCAGGCGCTATTTGGTCGACGCAAAGCCAAGATAACAACCCTCATTACTCTAGCGTTACTGGCCCTGGGAGGGTTTTCAGGCAGTGTGCTGTGCCTCTTCTGGGCCTTCATCATCCTTGCATTCCGCAACAGCGAGGAGCTGCCATCGCTCGATGAGATCTCGCCACTTGGCAGAGGCCGATTCGTGCTGGCTTGGATGCTTCTCAATGGCAGCCTGTTGCTGCTGCTGCCCAAGAGTGGCGGCACATTCCCTTCCTTCTTACCCACGGATTTCTAGCTGTGTGTGGAGACAGGTGTCTAGTCTGGGAGCAGGAACTTAGTGCGTGCTGATTCGTGCGCGCGTGGATGCTGCTGAACGGCAGTCTGCTACTGCTCCTCCCCAAGAGTGGCGGCACGTTCCCTTCATTCCTACCCACGGATTTCTAGCTGTGTGTGGAGACAGGTGTCTAGTCTGGGAGCAGGAACTTAGTGCGTGCTGATTCGTGCGCGCGTGGATGCTGCTGAACGGCAGTCTGCTACTGCTCCTCCCCAAGAGTGGCGGCACATTCCCTTCATTCCTACCCACGGATTTCTGAGTCTGTTTTACATCCCTTTGCTTCTGGACAGCAGTCTACAGCGGCCCCCGAGAATTGGAACCACTTTCCACTTCACAGATTTCTAACTGTGTGTGGAGGGAGGTGGTGGCAGGTGGAGGCAGGTGGAGGCAGGTGGAGGCAGGTGGAGGCAGGTGACAGGTCTACTGTGAGCCTATTCGTGCTCGCGTTTGTGCGTGGCGAATCCGTGGTGGTTCCTTCCCGCGTCGTCACTTCACCTTCACTGAACGAACTTTACTGTCTCCATTTTCAGGGTAGCAAAATGATTGATAGTGTAGCATAGATTAGTGTTGGAACTTGTGGTTGATTATAACGTTACTCTAGAAATCAAACATGATCTCAAAATCAAGCTCTTTTGGTCTGCAGAGGCCAGCGCCATTCGCATAATGGTGGGATAAACACCATAGCAACGTAGAGACTCAGAGACTCAGAGATGTAGCAATGTAGATAATAAACATATGTACTGTAGGTGCCATAGCTGCATGTTACAATGATAGATATAAACATTGCAGAGAATAGTTATCGCAGCCTAGCACGTTCTCCTTGAACCAACCGTGCAGTACACTACTTGATGTACCAAGGTGTGGCAGAGGCCAGAGTGGGATGGAAGGCAGCGTCAAAGGGGAAGTTGCAAAAGCCCATAGTGGTTGTGCAAAACGCAGCAGCTGGTAGGCACTTAAACGCGCTTGCTGCTGTTGCTGAAGAGGCAAAAGCAGGAACGTGAGGGCCAAAAGCAGGGGCAGAAGAAACGGTGGGTGTTGGAGGCCTGAAGAGGCTCGCAGCTGTTGCCGTGTTGCCGAATGCAGATGGAGCAGGCACAGCAGATGAGACAGGCACAGCAGATGGGACAGGCACAGCAGATGGGACAGGCACAGCAGATGGGACAGGCGCAGCAGATGGGACAGGCGCAGCAGATGGGACAGGCGCAGCAGATGGGACAGGCGCAGCAGATGGGACAGGCGCAGCAGATGGGACAGGCGCAGCAGATGGGGCAGGCGCAGCAGATGGGGCAGGCGCAGCAGATGGGGCAGGCGCAGCAGATGGGACAGGCGCAGCAGATGGGGCAGGCGCAGCAGATGGGGCAGGCGCAGCAGATGGGGCAGGCGCAGCAGATGGGACAGGCGCAGCAGATGGGGCAGGCGCAGCAGATGGGGCAGGCACAGCAGATGGGACAGGCGCAGCAGATGGGGCAGGCGCAGCAGATGGGGCAGGCGCAGCAGATGGGGCAGGCGCAGCAGATGGGGCAGGCGCAGCAGCAGGGGAGGTGGAACTGAAAGGAGAAGCTAAAGACACTAGAGGCTTGGAGAGGCGTGCTGCTGTTGCTGAAGAGGCGAAAGCAGGGGTGCAAGGGCCAGCAGCAGGAGCAGATGAAACGGTGGTTGTTGGAGGGTTGATGAGGCTTGTTGCTGTTGCGGTGGTGCCGAAAGCAGACGGGGCAGCCACAGCAGCAGGGGAGGTGGAACTGAAAGGAGAAGCTAAAGACACTAGAGGCTTGGAGAGGCGTGCTGCTGTTGCTGAAGAGGCGAAAGCAGGGGTGCAAGGGCCAGCAGCAGGAGCAGATGAAACGGTGGTTGTTGGAGGGTTGATGAGGCTTGTTGCTGTTGCGGTGGTGCCGAAAGCAGACGGGGCAGCCACAGCAGCAGGGGATGTGGAACTGAAAGGAGAAGCTAAAGACACTAGAGGCTTGGAGAGGCGTGCTGCTGTTGCCTTGTTGCGGAGAGCAGAAGTGGCGGGCACAGCAGCAGGGGAGGAGAATCGAAAAGGTGAATCGTCAGAGGTCAGAGAATCGGAGAGGCTACCTGCTCTCACACGCCAGGCAGTGGCAGGAAAAGGGTTGGCACCAACTGTGGTTGGGTTGCCAAGAAAAGGAGGAGAACCAGCACGATCAGAGATGGAAGCACCAAAACCAGAAGACAAATTGCCAGTGGTGGGAGTGGAAGAGTTAGAAGCAGCAGTGGCAGTGACAGCACCAAATCCAGGAGTGGCGGGCCGAGGAATGGTAGTGAAAGCAGCACTGCCAGAAGCTGTGGCCTTAGAAACAGGTGCGGTAGCACTGACAGGGGAAGTAGCAGCCGCAGTTGCAGACGAAACGGCAGCAGTGGATGAACCGGCAGTGCTGGAAACAGCAGCAGCAGATGAAACGGTAGAGGCAGATGCAACGGTAGCAGCAGGTGGACGAGTAGAAGCAGATGTATCAGGAGAAGCAGATGAAACGGTGGCAGCTGAAACACCAGCAGCAGATGAAACGGTAGAGGCAGAAAACGTGGTAGTAGCAGATGGAACTGCAGCAGAGGATGAAACGGTAGCAGCAGATGGAACGACACCCGTGGATGAAACGGCGGCAGCAGCAGCAGGCGAAGCAGCAGATGCGGGCGGATCGCCAGCAGCTGCAGCTTGCAAGCTGGGAGCGTCCATCACGGTGGTATCAGAGGTAACGGTTTCTACAGCAGCAGTAGCAGCCGCGACTGTTTCTCCAGAAGCAACGGTAACTGTAGCATCAGTGTCAAATGCATTTTTAGAAGTTGCGGCAACGGTGGCATCAGTAGTAATTGCCTCTCCCGGCGAGGCAGCAGTAACCGTGATATCAGCAGCACTAACCGCATTACCAGCGAGCGGAAGTGAGGATGGAGGACTAGATTTCTGTTCGGAACACGAGGGAGCGGGTACTAGCAAATCGTCAGTGCTCACAGCAACCGACGAGCCGACGGCTGGGCGGCACTTGAGATCCGACTTGACGGAATCCGTCAGTTTGACAGTCGTCGAGTCTCCGTCGCTGCCAAGACCAGTTTCTACATTAACGTCAGCGTCAGAAACGTCAAAGGCGGCCTCAACACGTAGCACACTCAGTTCCTGGGAAACAAATGCGTCATAAATGTCCTCGTCCGTTGAAAGCGTGATGACGTCACCGTCGGCGTCCGTGTACGTCAGCGAGAGCGGCTTGCTCGCGGGGATGTCGAGAGACGCGCGAATACGCAGGCTGACGTGGCGGAAGGACGGAGGGAACCAGCGAGACGAGATGCGAAGCGAAGAGCCATTGCAGCTGACCTGGAAAGGAGGGGGGTTAAGGAGGAGGGAGAATGGGAAAACAGGTTAGTAAGAGGAAAGGGGGTGGGAAATAGAGCAATGCTCTGCAATGGGGAAAAAGGCACAGAGGTCGACGAAAATATGCTGGAGCGCTCTTGCAGGATGAAGGGTCGCCTCGAGACGATTTGTGTCTTGCCACTCATCCGAGTGAACGCCACAGACCGACTGAACATTCTTCTCTGATGTTACAGCTCATCCGAGTGTGATGAAAACGCCAAAGCAGCTAATAGATTAAGAAGCAATCGGCACAGGAATATAGGAATCGCGAGGCACAGACGTAGCGACACGTGTAGGGTATCTGAAGGCTAAGACTCAATCATCAACGAGTTGAAGCGTTATTTTAGGGCATAGAGGCTGGCGATATTTTTTGAGTTGGGACGCCTCGAAGCGAGATTTTCTGCTCACCTTCACGAGATAGTTAAGGGACAACATGGCTCGAGGGTGATGTGGCGTGGGAAACGGCCTGGAATATTGTGCAGGTAATCACTGTAACGAACGAATGTCTGACAAAGGCAACGGCTAGTACATGAATTTCAGCTGGGAGAAGCACTCGTGATTTCTATCAGAGAAAACTGGATTCGCGACCTCTTCGGATGCACAATCAAGTTCGAAGGCAATCTCCACAAACAAACCAAACCTGACCTAGCCGGAACGATTTGAACCGAACCTCAAAACTACACCGCCACAATCAAACCAAGCCAAGCACACTTGTCCGTGCCAATTCCCGCCTCGACTTCACAACCAGAACAAATTCGCGAACCGCACTTTCTCCTGATTCGCTTTGACTTGCTGAAATTTCGTTGGCCCTTGCTTCGGTCCATCCAACCGCAGCGCCGCCAAAGAATTCAAATTTCCTACCCAGGTAAAGGTTGGTCCACATTGCGTGTCGCGTACAGGTTTGGCCCGACCTCATCCTCCATCGAGTCGCCTCCGAAGGTTTCGACATGTTGCAGAACACCTCAGCTCGGCACGGGTCGGTCGGAATTGCACTTCACCACTCATCACAGCTCAAAACCAATTTACACCGCGGCTGTGGTGCGTGCCTGCTGTGCCGTGCGCCAGCGGTGGTGCGACCTTGTTGAACCTCGACCCGTGCCCAACCTCGCTTTCAGGGGCCTCATTAGTGCACCACCGTAAAGAAATTATGCGTGTACAAGTCAAATGCTGTACAATACAGTGCCCTTAGGGCGTGGAACATTTTTACGACCATACCAAATGGTCGCCCGTATGGTTGGATCTGGCGATTGCGAAGGGTGTAACAGAGATGCGAAGGATACGAGATTTTCAAGCCATTCTGTTCGCCAGAACGTGGGGCACCTCTAAATACAACCAAAACTAAGGAAAAACAACTGATCCTAGTTTAAGCATTCGAATGGGGTGTGGACCCTCGGGGGGCGGAGAGTTGTATGTTTTGCAAGTAGAGCGGGGCTGGAAGACACTTTCGGTGGAACAATCGAAGTTAAACGTTGTCCCACTTCTCTGGACAGTGTAGTAGGCGACAAAAATCCTACGGGAATACCATTGAAATTCGGTCGAGTGAGGGTGAATACTGGCATGTCACGCGACGGGGTTTCCCTAAATCCTTTGCAATCGCCAGAAGCAACCATCAATTCGACCATTCGACGTGTTCGTAAAAATGTTCCACGCCCTTACAAGCACACAAAAAAGCTTCCATGTTGTATCACATGCACAGCACATACATTGTTGAGTCGATTCAGGAGGAGGAAACGGGATGGATCACTCCATATACCAGCACAAGTGCATCGCATGCACATACTGCTGATTGATGCTGCCTCACCAATAGCGCTCAGTATTGAACGTGCCAGCTTTTTTAGACTTGGATTTCCTTGACTTGTTTTTCTTCGGCTTTGAATATGCAGCTTCTTGGAACCTGGATGAGCTTGCTTGTGTCTCGTATGGGGGCCCAACAGGTGCACAGTAGTCATCACCGGCGTAGTCATCATCAGGGAAGTAATCATCACCAGGGAAGTAATCACCAGGGTAGTCGTCGTCAGGTGCTGCCGAGTAGCCGTAACCAAAACTGGGACCGTAACCATAACTGGGACCATAACCATAGCTGGGACCGTAACCGTTGCCATAGCCATAGCCGTAACCAGGAGTATAAGAGCCATGAGCAGGAAATGAAGCCGGATAAGCAGGAGCGGGGCAAAAACCAGGAGAATAGCCAGCATAAGCAGGAGCGGCGACAGGGGCAGGAGGGGAGGCAGCAAAGTAAGGAGCGGGAGGGCAAGCAGGTGGACCAGAATGCGACGACGAAGTAGCAGCCACAGAACTAGTGGAAGTAGAAGTGCCAAAGCCAGAGGTGGTGGAGGTTGAAGTGAAACCACCGAGCTTGGACCTAGAACCACCTCTCTTAGACTTGGAGAAACCTTTCTTGGGAGAGGAAGCACCTGACTTGGAAGTGGAAACACCTAAGATGGAGGATGAACCACCAGTCCCGTAAGTGGAACCACCGAGCTTAGAAGTGGAAGTGGAAGTGGAAACACTATATCTCGAAGTGGGAGCACCAATGGATGTGAAATTGCTTAATCCTGAAGTGGAACCACCGAACCCGGAGGTGGAAGCACCAAACTTGGAAGTGGAAACACCGAATCCAGAAGAGGAGGCACCAAACCCGGAAGAGGAACCAAATAATCCGGAAGTAGCAGATGAAGTAGCAGATGAATTGGCAGCAGCAGTGGCAGATGCAGCTGGATACAGCGCCGCTATGAGGCTAGAAACAGCAGTAACTGTTGCAGGAATGGTAACTGCGTTTCTCGAAGCAGCAGTAGCAGTAACATCAGTGGTAACTGCTTTCCCTGCAGCAGCAGTGGCGGTAACATCAGTGGTAACTGCTTTCTCTGCAGCAGCAGTGGCGGTAACATCAGTGGTAACTGCTTTCCCTGCAGGAGCAATAGCGGTAGTGTCAGTGTTAACTGCTTTTCCTGAAACAGCTGTCAGAGGTCCACTGGTGATCCCCGATTGATCCTAGGGAAGGGTTACAGGCACGGCGGCCTGGGGGGTTATGGGCGCACTCACCCGCTACACAAACAAGTCATTTTATCCCAGTGGTTAGTGACTGGGATTCTGACATGGTATCAGAGCAAAGGTCTCGGGTTCGAATCCCGGTGTGTGCACCTCGGGCATCCCAGTGCGGGGGGGTGTCAGAGGTCCACTGGTGATCCCCGATTGATCCTAGGGAAGGGTTACAGGCACGGCGGCCTGGGGGGTTATGGGCGCACTCACCCGCTACACAAACAAGCCCTTTTATCCCAGTGGTTAGTGACTGGGATTCTGACAACAGCAATAGCAGTAGCGTCAGTGTTAACTGCTTTTCTTGAATCACCATGAACGGTGGTGTCAGTGGTATCTACTTTCTCAGGAGAGGCAGCAGCGGTAGTGACAGTGGTGACTGTATTTCCCGAATCAGCGGTAACTGTTGCGTCAGTGGTAGCTACATTTTCAGGAGAATCAGCAGCAGTAGTGTCAGTGGTGACTGCCTTTCCTGAATCAGTGGTACTCGTTGCGTCAGCGGTAACTACTTTCTCAGGAGAAGCAGAAGCAGTAGTGTCAGTAGTAACTGCCTTGACTGAATCAGTGGTATTCGTTGCGTCAGCGGTAACTACTTTCTCAGGAGAAGCAGAAGCAGTAGTGTCAGTAGTAACTGCCTTGACTGAATCAGTGGTATTCGTTGCGTCAGCGGTAACTACTTTCTCAGGAGAAGCAGAAGCAGTAGTGTTAGTGGCGACTGCCTTTCCTGAATCAGCAGTATTCGCTGCGTCAGCGGTAACTACTTTCTCTGGAGAAGCAGAAGCGATAGTGTCAGTGGTGACTGTCTTCCCCGAATCAGCAATAACTGTTGCGTCAGTGGTAGCTACTTTCTCAGGAGAAGCAGCAGCGCTAGTGACAGTGTTGACTGCCTTACCTGAAGCATCACCTGTAAGATCAGTGGTAACTGCTTTTCCAGAATCTGCAGCATCTGCCTTTCCCGAAGCAGCAACGTCCGTAGGCTCAGCAGCACCAGACCTTTCCAAAACAGCAGTCATAGTGGTAGTATCAGTGGTGACTGACGTTTCAGAATCTGCAGCAATGCTTGTATCAGCTGCAACTGCTTTTCCTGAAGCAGCAGCTACCATAGAAACAGCAGCACCAGCTTTTTCCAAATCAGAAGTCACGGTGGGAGGATCAGTGGTAACTTCAGCAACGCTTGTATCAGTTGCAACTGCTTTTCCTGGAGAAGCAGCGACAGTAGGATCAGCTTGACCAGCCTTTTCTGAAACAGCAACCATGGCAGTAGTGTCAGCAGTAACTGCTGTTCCAGAATCTGCAACAATGCTTGCATCACTTGCATCTGCTTTTCCCGAAGCAGCAGCGACCGTAGATACAGTGGTACCAGCCTTTTCCAAACCAGTAGCCACGGTATTGGTATCAGTGGTAACGGCTGTGCCAGAATCTGCAGCAACGTTTCCATTCGTTCCACCTGATTTTTCCGAAGCAGCAGCGACCGCAGTCTCAGCGGTACCAGCCTTTTCCGAATCAGCAGTCATGGTGGTAGTATTATCAGTCATATCTGCGATTCCAGGGGCAGCAGTCAAGCTAGTATCAAGAGTAAACGCCTTTGCAACAGTAACAGCGCAATCAGCAGGCTTCCGCGAAATAGCAGTGATGGTAGTATGGGTAACTTCTCTTCCTGCAGCATCAATCTCAGCAGGAACTGCCGCTACCAGAGCAGCAACAGCGGTGATACCAGCGGTAACAGCCTTTCCTGAAGTAGCGGCAATCGGTGTATGGTGACTTTTCACGCGCCTCAAAAATCGCCTCATCTTGGTAACAGTGCTGAATGCGTTTCCAGGAGCAACACTAACGACAGGAGAAGCACTAAAAACAGGAGCAGCACTAAACACAGGAGCAGCACTAATGGCAGGAGCAGCACTAAAAACAGGAGCAGCACTAAAAACAGGAGCAGCACGGAAAACAGGAGCAGCACTAACGGCAGGAACAGCACTAACGGCAGGAGCAGCACTAAAAACAGGAGCAAATCTAACGGCAGGAGCAGCACTAGAAGCAGGAGCAGCACTAACGACAGGAGCAGCACTAACGGCACCAGTAGCTACCGGAAGGGAGGATAAAGCACTAGCATCCTGTTTGGAACACGATGGAGAGAAGATCTGTTCGGTGCGCGAGGGAGAGAGGAGCAGATCGTCCGTACTGACAGCAACCGACGTGCTGCTGAGGGTTGAAACGGGACATCTGAGGTCCTTCAAGGCGTCATTGTCAATGCTAACGTTTACTTTAACGCCAACGTCCGCGTCTACGTTAACGTCAGCGTCATCCTCTATGTTAACGTCGACACGTAACGGATTCAGCTCCTGGAAAATAAAGGCGTCGTGGAGATCTTCGTCCGTGGAGAGCGCGATGACGTCACCGTCCGTGTCTGTGTACGTCAGCAAGATCGGCTTGCTGGCGGGGATGTCGAGCGACGCGCGAATCCGCAGGCTGACGTGGCAGAAAGTCGGAGGGGAGCAGCGGGACGAAATGCGACGCAAAACGCCATCGCAATGTACCTACAAGTGAGAGGGAGAAAGGAAAGGGAAGAGGGTGCGGAAAGTGAAGGGGGGGATGGCACGTGGAGAGGAGAAGGGAAAAAATGAAAAATGGAAACGGGTAGAAAGGAAAAATGGTGGAAGATAAAGAATGGTTTTGCATGAGTTTAATGGATGAGATGGTGCTGTGGTGGGACGCCAGACACGAACATCTGAACGTACGAACGACTCAGGCTTCGCAGTTAAGATGACGAACGTACGAACGACTTTAACTTTGACTGGACTGAGAAGAACTAGGCGCTACTGAACACGAATTAGAACGTGAAAACTAAACGATATAAGAATCCAAACAGATTTCGAGTCTCATGCTAATTGATATAATATACTCAACTACCCAGCAACGCGTTGACAGCACAGAGTAGCGAAATACCCTGCTCACCTTCATGACATAGAGGGTCGACATGGCGGGAACGCTAGTCTGGACGTGGGAACTATACACCACGGAACGGTGTATCACTCGGGAGTTCCAATTAGCAGCTGTCTGGCAGCGGGGCTTCTGACCAAAATATTCATACATACTATGACTCGCAGGTGCGTCTGAACGAAAAAAATTCAGCACCAACTACAAATTTCGAAAGCCGTCCCCACCACTATGGCTGAAAATTTGACAAAATGGGGAATACCGGCGTTTGTTCTACTACCATAGGAACCAGAACCTGAAGTAGCAGATCCTATCAGCAAGGCATTTGGAAAGGAATTCTTGTGCTTGTTGCGCTGACGCTGCTGCTTGCTCCATTGCTGCTCGGCTACTACCAGTAATACTATTCCTAGGGCACCGTCCGTGACGCGTGATGATGCGTGGGTGCTGTGCGGTGACCACAAATATGGATGAACATCTATTGCCCAATTTCAAGGGTCGCGCGCGCGATCCAACGGATACTGGCAAAAGGTCTGACAAAGTTGTCAACGGTACACCATCGGACGGTGACCATAGGCCCTGAAGTTTCACGTTCTCGCTCCACGAGGGATAGTTTGATGCGATACAAAGTACCTTGTCACAAGGTTGACAAATTCACATCAAAATTAGCACACAATACAACTACTGAACTCACAACCCCACAACAGCCTGTACATGTATTGCAGCCATGACAGGGACATTATACAGGGAGCAGCAGATTATTTCACCTGCCTATGCATGGCAGATCCCTGAGTGAAAGGGAAGGCAGATTCATGGGCAAAGGTGAAAACCCCCACATCATGAGCAGATGCTTGCTTATGTTCCTGATGCGACAAAAGCAGTAGCAGTGCCGAAAGCAGGAGCAGAAGGATCGGCAGCTATTTGGGATGTTATGGAGTGGCAGCGGTCTGGATGATGTAGAACGCTGCACCAGGAATGGAAGGTGCAACAGCTCTGAGATGGAGTACGTGAAAATGAGGGTGTTGGAGGCTTGGGGGGGAGAAGCGGCTTGTTGCTGCTGCTGAGGTGCCAATAGCAGGAGTGCAAGTGCGGAAAGCAGCAAGGCAAGGATGGAAGGCAGCAGGGCAAGTGCAGAAAGCTGCAGGGCAAGGATGGAAGGCAGCAGGGCAAGTGCGGAAAGCTGCAGGGCAAGGGCGGAAAGCAAGAGCAACTGAAACATCAGCTACTTGGATTGCCCTAGTGTGGCAGAGGGCTGGGTGGGATGAACGGCTGCGCCAGGGGCAAAGCTGGAGAAGCTCAGAGAAGGAGCAGAAGAACCGGTGACTGCTGGAGGCTTGCAGGAGAATGGTGCTGTTGTTGCCGTGTTGCTGGTAGGAGACGGGAAAGCTGCAGTAGGAGCAGATGAGTTAAAAAGAGGAAAAAAGGCCAGTTGCCAGGGGCTTGGAGGAGAGGGGTGCTGCTGTTGCTGTGTTGCTGGGCGGAGCTGGGAAAGCTGCAGCAGAAGCAGATGGGTTAAAGGAGGAAGAAAACCCAGTTGCCGGGGGTCTGGAGGAGAGGGGTGCTGCTGTTGCCGTGTTGCTGGGCGGAGACGGGAAAGGTGCAGCAGAAGCAGATGGATTAAAGGAGGGAAAAAGCCCAGTTCCCAGGGGCTTGGAGGAGAGGGGTGCTGCTGTTGCTGTGTTGCTGGGCGGAGCTGGGAAAGCTGCAGCAGAAGCAGATGGGTTAAAGGAGGAAAAAAGCCCAGTTGCCGGGGGCTTGGAGGAGAGGGGTGCTGCTGTTGCCGTGTTGCTGAGAGCAGACGGGGCAGGCACAGCAGGAGGCGAGGAGGAGGAAAAAGTTGAAGGAGCACCAGTCACTGGTGGTTTGGAGAGGCTTGGTGCTGTCTTGGTCTGCCCAGTGCTGCTTGCAGAAAACGAGTTAGCAGTTGCCTTCGTGCTGCCAAAACCAGGGAGAGAAGAGAATGCGCCAGAAGTAGGAGCGGAAGCACCAAACCCGGAAGATAAAGTGCTAGTGGCTGGAGTGGCAGTGCTAGACGCGGCGGTGACAGTGCTATAAGACGTCGTGCCAGTGGCAGGAGTAGAAGCACCAGCACCAGCAGCAGCAGCGGCGGCGGCGAAAGCAGCAAAACCAGAAGTGGCAGACCCGGGAGTGGCAGCGAAAGCAGCGAAGCCACCAACAGCAGGCTTGGAAGCAGGAGCGGTGGCACTGGCAGGGGAAGAAGCAGCAGCAGTAGCAGATGAAACGGCAGCAGCAGATGAAACAGCAGCAGCAGATGAAACGGTAGCAGCAGATGAAGTGGTAGCAGCAGATGAAACGGTAGCAGTAGATGAGAAGGTAGCAGCAGCTGGAACTGTAGCAGAAGGTGAAACGGTAGCAGAAGGTGAAACGGTTGCAGCAGATGGAACGGCGGCAGCAGATGGAACGGCGGCAGCAGATGGAACGGCGGCAGCAGATGGAGTGGTAGCAGCAGATGGAATGGTAGCAGCAGATGATACAGCAGCAGCAGGCGAATCAGTAGCAGCAGGTGGAGTTGTAGCAACAGATGTAATGGCAGCAGCAGCACCAGATACAGTAGCAGATGCCAACGAGCCAACCATATCCGCTGGTTGCAATCCGGAACCAGCAGTCATGATAGTATCAGAAGTGTCTGATTTTATATCAGTTGCTTTATCTGAATCAGCATCAACGGTGGTACCTGTGGTAACTGCCATTCCTGAAGCAACAGTGATCGTAGCATCAGTGGTAACCATGTTTTCCGAAGCAGCAGCACGGGAACTACTAGCTTCCAAGCGTGAGGATGGAGCATTTGAAGGGGGAGGAACGTCCTCAGTGCTGAGAGCAACCGACGTGCTGACGGTTGGAAGGGAACACGACTTAACAGAATCCGTCACTTTGACAATTGTCAAGCCGCCGTCAATGCTAACGCCAGCGCTCGCGTCAACGTCAACGTCAGCGTCGGCATCGACGTTTCCATCAGCGTTTCCGTCAACGACCACGTCAACGCGTAACGGATTCAGTTCTTGAAAAACGAAGGCGTCGTGGAGATCTTCGTCCGTCGAGAGCGCGATGACGTCACCGTCCGTATCTCTGTACGTCAGCGAGATCGGCTTGCTGGTGGGGATGTCGAGAAGCGAGCGAATCCGCAGGTTGACTTGGCGGAACGACGGAGGAGAGCAGCGGGAAGAGATGCGACGCAAAACGCCATCACAGTTTACCTGAGGGGGAGGGGGAAGGGTGAGGGGAGGATGAGATAGAGCGGAGGAAGCGGGATGCCGTGCAGGAAGAGGGGAAAGGGGAAAAGGATTAAGAGATTAAGGGGATGGGAAAAAAGCAACAGCGTTGCCTGAGGTCGATGGGGGGAATGCCAGTGGGCCGCAGCGAGACGAGCTGCGTTTTGTATCTCACGGTAGTGAGGTAAAGAACGTCACTTTTAAGACGACTTACAAGCTGCCTAAGGTTGATGGGGGGGATTAGAGTGGGTCGCAGCGAGACGAGCTGCGTCTTGTATCTCACGGAAGCGTGGTAAATAACGTCACTCCGTGTCCTATAAGAATGACTTGACTTGACCAGACTGAGAAGAACTAAACGTCACCGAGATCCATTTATTATAATGAGGATAACTATGCGATACGAACCCAAACAAAAGGGGAGCAGGAGAGGTGGATGGGAGAGGGAGGAAAAAGACATATCGGACTTTTTCGAAAGATAAATCTGGTAATCACTAATCTACGCAGCGACGCGTTGACAGAATAAGAGCAAAATTCCCTGCTCACCTTCATGACATAGAGGGTCGGCATGGCGGGGACGCTACCACCGGCGCGAGGCTAGTCTGGATGTGGGAAGCGATTCGACAAAGCAGGTGATGTAACTACAAGGATCGGCGAAAACTGTAAGTTCCAACACCACCTATGCTGTTCGCACCACTACTACTAAGAGCGTCACGAAAGCTGGAACTACGGAAGAAAGCTAAACAACAAGAAGTTGGTATGGCCAGGAGAGATGTTGGTGCTTGTGCTGATACTGGTAAATATATTTGAGAGGGGCCATGAATGTGTGTGCTGAGGTGATGGAATGGGAGACGGAGACGCTGGTGGTGAATCACCCAAGTGTTCGAGTAGAGCGACGGAATTCAAGGTGCAGAGGCCGTCGGACATGAGCGTTCGGACGAGGCCCTGAAGTTCGTGCGCAGAGGCCATCGGACGGTGTGCAGAGGCCATCGGACGGTGTACAGAGGCCATCGAACGGTGTGCAGAGGCCATCGGACGGTGTGCAGAGGCCCTGAAGTTCGTGTGCATTGGGTCGGACAGTGAAAACGACACTGGACGGTTGTTCATGAAGAACGACCTGTCTGCCAGCTCGGTACAGCCCAAGTTTCCTGACCTCCGTAACCATCAGGACCGAACAAAACACTTGAGTTCCAAGTTCAAACCGAACTGACAGGACCAAAATGGGCATCCCCACAATTCAACCGCTGATCCATGGACACCCACTCCAATTTCGGGACGCGGTTCGGGTTTCCCGCGTCTTTTCGACTTTTGTTCGCTTCAGTTTGACGCTCAAACTGAAATCCCGATGCCTTCCAGCAAAGGAATGGAAGTCCCGTTCGTGAAAGTCATATCAGGGCTCCAGAAATTTGTACAGTGCAGAGAGGCTTGTTGCGGAAACCGAGCTCAACCCTAGGCAACCATGAACCTCGGGAACACTCATTCCATCCCATCTAGGCGTGGCTGTTCTTACCACGTCAGCTTCATACGGGAAAGCATTGGCCGCCACGTCGTCTAACTTAGGGTGGCCTGTGATGTGACTGCGACCACCATGCCGCCACTTCTATCGCACATTGCGCCGCCTTGCTGCTCGCCTGCGTGCCGCCTTGCCTTGCCCCTCGCCTCGCCGCTCTTCCTCGTCACCTCCACGCAGTGTCACTCGTTCCGCCCTTCCGCTGCATCCTCACGCATCCGTCGCCTTTCCCCCGCGCGGCGGCGCGGAGCGGGAGCGGCGGTAGCGCAGGCAGCGGCGGGCGACGGGGCGGGCGACGTGCAGACATTCATCCTCACGGCGGGCGCGCTCGCTGCCGCCGCCGTCTCCCTGCGACTTGCGCTCAAGGTGCCGCTCTCCGCGCACCCACTCCGCGCACCCACTCCGCCACCCCTTCTCTCCCCGCTGCTCGTCCTCCGGACGCCCTCCAATGGCCTCCCCTCCTCACGCCTACGTATCTTCTCTGGCTTCCGTGCTCACTACACACATGCTCGCTGCACACACGCTCGCCACGTCTCACACGCTCGCCTGGGGTCACTCACTATGTGCCTCCTATCTGCCTGCCCCTCTCCCCTGTGCCCCGCATTCTCCCCTGTGCCCCGCATTCTCCCCTGTGCCCCGCA